AGAACAGCTGAGTCAGAACAGCTGAGTCAGAACAGCTGAGTCAGAACCTGGGGTCTTTTTTTTTTTTGTCTTTTTTTTTTTTTTTTTTAACGTGTCCCTTTTCTTTTAGAATTCCCTGAAAGAGATCGGCAAGGAGGGTACGGTCAGAGCTGACGCCGTCAGAGGAGCTTTCGCGTCTCCGGAGGTCGACAGAGCGCTCTCCCAAAGAAACCTGCACCTTCCCTGGGAATTTACTGCTTCACAGCAAAAATTCGGAAGGCATTGCCATCTGAAGGATTCTTCAAGCTGGAGAAAAAGAAAAGAAAAAAAAAACCCTCATAGAATGAACTATATGAATACACTGCAAGACCCAAAGTGCAATCGACCCAGAGGTGACTCCAAATTTCTCCTATCTCACTCCTACCAGGAGCAGGAGAGAGATAAAAGATGAAAAAGAAGAGGCACAAATCCATGATTACACCTTTGGTTTATGTTTTCAATCCAAATCTATAGTGCCAACAAAAGGAGCTAGAAGGTGACAGCCTCTCTTACAGCCCCAGCTTTTATCCAAGGAACATTGTGCTCCCTTATGCAGAGATTCAGGCATGAAGAGGAATATGTTTTCCAAAAAAAACTTGTCAAACAGGCTGGCAGGTTTCCAGAGCCTGTCTGGCCTGTCTTCTGGTGCTGACAAGGGGAGTAGCCAGATCAGCTCAAGTTAAATGACAATAAATATGGATATTTATTTTCAGTGTGCAGAAGCATCTCCAGCCACTCCAATTCTGTGTCATTGTGTGCACGGGGGCAAGAGGGTGTTTCTATTTCCCAAATCCTATTTCTTCAGCCCTGCTGGGCTGAAAAACCCCAGGAAAATGATGAAATTCCATATTCCCGCAAAATAAACATTCCAAAAAGGATAAAGACTCAGTAAATCCTAAAAGTAATTTTTCCCATACCTGTATGGGTGTGTATCTTTACCAAAGGTCACTTCCAGTGTTCTAAAGGGTAAAGTTTTCACCTTAATCTTTGAAAAGCTATCTCACAGTCTGGTGGATCTCACAGCTTGAAGCTGTTCCTTATTGCTGAGTGTAAATAACACTTTCCAAATCTTCCTGGTCATCCCTGCTGCGAGAACGTCTTTGGTTTCCCTCACCTCCCAGATCAGCACTGGCTGCTCATATTGCATATCCCTTCTTGTGGTGGGATTTATTCTTAGCTAGGGCACAGTTTGCCATCCAAGTAAAAAGTTATCTGTTAATATAAGTGCACGCAAGACAGAAATAAAATTTAAAAAAAAAACAACCAAACACCTCACAGGAACAGGAGGTTTTTTTACCTAAATCCAATATACTGAATTGCAAATCACAGAACTGCAAAATGCTGACCCTGATAGATCTATACTAAAAAAACCCAACATATTTAACACCTAAATCTTTCTTGTCTTAGTCTATTTTTATTTCCTGAGATGCTTCACAGCATTCTGGGATATCCATTAGTACAATAAACCCAGCAAATTTGATAGAATTTCTTATAGTATTTATAAAAGTGGAACTGCACAGAGCAGGCAAAGTTAATAGTGACCAAAAACCCCCATAATAATTGGAAATTCTATACTTGCAAGAATAGCTTTGAGAAATTAGTACCATCACACCAATATCTGAGAAAAAAAAAAACATCATAGGTTGAAACACAAGTTTCAAATTAGAAAGGACTGAATAAGCTGTGACTTGATCATCAGGAGGTGCAGGATTTTGGAAGTGATTTGCAACTGGTCACTGAAACCAGCAAGGTTGGCCCAAAAGAAACTACAAAAAATGACAAGGATGGCAAATCCATCTTCGAGAAGTGTTTGATCACCTCTGAAAGCATTACTTTACTCACGTTTGTTTCAAAGAGGACAGAGGACATGAGTTAACATATACAAATGCATCCCCCACTCCAGAATTGAATGAAAATTCCAATTATAAGCCTGAAAACCTGACCCAGGCTGAAAGCTGAAGAAATACCTGTGCCTATCTTTTAATGTGTCAAAGGCACAGCAAAATGTATTAATGTGGACTTGGTACTGTAAGAAAATCAAGTAAGGCTTAACCATATTTCCCATCTTTCACACGGATCTGAGGGCAGCTCCTCACTCGGGGAAGGTAAGAGCAGGACAACACGCTCTATTTGTTTGGGGCTCCAAATCCACAGTGACACTCTTAAGTCACGTATTTCCAATCCACCAGCCTTCCTAGCTGATATCTGCTGACTTTAACATGCCAGGGAACTCGGTGTGGAAAATAAGAGGAAAGTACAAAAGGGAAAAAAAAATCCCACCTCTCCGACTGGACGCCGTTCTTTAAGGAACCAACGTAACTCTTCTTCTTTTCTACAGGCATCACGTCCACAAAGCCACCTCTTTCATCTGAAATGACTCCTGCATGCACTGCAGTTTTGCAGATACTGGAGCTCTGAAAAATATTTAATTATTTTGACTTACACACTGTCCATATTTTCTATATGGACATTTACTATCTCCATAAACACCAAGGAAAACCAGGGAATAAAAAAGAAACAGTTATGAAACAATTCTGTCCCTCTTTTGGACCAACTAGGGGTAAAAGATGTCACGGAGCAGGTTTTGCAGGTACTTCCTAAGCCCTGGTTGTAAGAAGATCCACCATCACTGCAGAGGACAAGCAATCTTTCCATCGGTCCTGTCTGAGGTGGAGCTGCACCTGGGAGACTATCACAGAATCACAACATGGTTTGGATTGGAAGGGACCTTAAAGATCATCTCATTCCAATCCCTGCCATGGGCAGGGAGACCTTCCATTAGCCCAGGTTGCTCCAAGCCCCGTCCAACCTGGCCTTGAACACTTCCAAGGATGGGGCAGCCACAGCTTCTCTGGGCAACCTGTGCCAGGACCTCACCACCCTCACAGGGAACAATTTCTTCCTAATATCCAATCTAAATCCACACTTCTTCTTCTTATCCAGGGCCAAAGCTGAATTGAGGACAACTTTCCAGCCAGGGCCTCTTGGGTCTGCACCAGAGAAACCACTGCGGTGAAACTCTTTGCTAGAGAGCAACCACCTCAGCAAAGTTTATTCACACAGTTGCTTGAAAAAGAAACTCTTTTCCTGAATTAAGCTAAATGACCACTAATTATCCAGGGGAGTTCAAATCCTTCTTTCTAGGAAAAACAGAAGGACTGAATCCATTGAGTAGTGTAGGTTTTGGATAGGCATTACCCTGTAAGACAAAATCCGATGTGGAGGGAGATTAACACTTCTGGAAAGGCTAAAGCTCCTCTATTGCACATCATTCGCCTCCTCTCCAAGATGTGCAGAGTCAGAAGAGCTGGAGGAACACAAAACACTAACAACTGATGACTAAGTTCCCCAAGCATCCAGAAAAAGAGAGCAAAAACAGAGCAGGCTAAGGCGCAGTATAAACTTGGCCATCAGCTCTAGAGGGTTTACATAGAGCAAGCTGGAATAACACAAAGCAAAAACCAGCTTCATGCAGGGGACTGCAGCAGGTGAAAATCCCAACCCCAGACCCTCCCTGATGGCTAAAAATCCAAGTACCACAAAAACAGTGCCAGGGGTAAACTGTATGTACAATACAGACCGTGCTGTTTCATTCTCACAGCCATATATGGCAGCTTTGCCTCGTCCCCTATATATTTTTCACTTTGGATGGCCTATCTCTTGGCAGCTCTCTGAGTTTTGAGTGCCAGTTTGGTATTTTGTTTCTATATATGGTCAGAGGAGCAAGGGAACACTGTGTTTGGAAGATACACAGCGAATCCACCCTAGAATGCGATGGGAAATCTGTTAAATCTAAAACTGGCTCATAAAAATTAAACTGTCCTGAATCAATTTGCAACCCTCTCCACTGGGAGACATCTTAAACAATGTTCAAAGCATTCCTGTTTTTTTTCCAGGACTTGCTGTTCTGCTGCTTACTCAAAGCTTTGACCAACAGACTTTTTATTGCTTTACCCCAAACCTCCTCTTATCACTGTGTTGGATTAGAGCCCTCTTGTATCCCAGGCTGGGCTGTGCTTTGATGAATTGATTGCAGAGCTTTTGGAAGATGAGATATCACAAGAATAAGGCCTTCCTGCCCAAATTGAGGAGTACAACATAGTGAAGCCCCTCGGGATGCTCTGAGAGCACTTCCTGACAAAGCGGACTCCAGAGCACCCACCATAAAATGACAATGCACCTTATAGTGGGTCATTAACAATATTCTGTGACTATGAGCTTAATCACCCAGAATTTCCTCATCAGTGTGACTGGTTTAATCACTGAGTTTGTATCTGCTGAGAGCTGAACCTCCCAGCTTGGTTTGCTCTGGTGCCAAACACCTGCCTCGTTACGCGGGTGGATCCATCCTCCTCCGACCAATTGTGGCATAACTGTGGATAAAAGGCCTTATCTCAAAAGCAGAGAATCGTTCTTTCCTGGCTCCCATGCCCATCCTGGGCAGGGATGGGGATGGGTTTCCCTTCAGACCTATGGCACACCAGGAGCCAGGCAGAGTGACAAATCACAGCATCTCATGAAACCCAAAAGCTCTCTTACAACCTTTAGAAGGATCCTTGGGCGTTCACACAGCTCCAGCATCAAGGCCAGGTTGGATAGGGCTTGGAGCAACCTGGTCTAGTGGAAGGGTGTCCCTGCTCATGACAGGGGGTTGAAACACTGGGTCCCTTCCAACCCAAACCATTCCATGATTCTGTGATCACCCCAGAACCAGGCCTGTCCACTTTTACCATTGCATATTTCTTGCATTTTGTTCATTAAACCCAAAATTTAAGTCTCCTCTATGTCCCTGTTCCACAGTCTAATTTCCTCATGAACAATTCCTTGCACTGTTTTTAAGGAAAAGGCTGCCAATACCTCTCTACATTTGGAGCCATCAGAAGCACCCATGTATAAACTCACAATTCAAGAGAATTTTATTCTGATAAGTAAACCAAAAACTCAATCAGAATGCTTTTAGTCTGGGTAAAAATCCCTTTATACAAACAAGATTAGGTCTCCTATGTCTCCTGAATAAAAATCAGAATTATCCATAAAAGCCTTCAATTCCTCATGTCACAGCTTTTCTCTTCATGGCAAAACAAATTTTATATATCTTCCAGGGATCATGTAAATGTGAACACTATCTTCGGTCAAAAACACAGTGAAGCCTTTTGTTCCATGGACCAGCCAAGCATTTGTGCCACCACAGCTCAGATTGATTATCAGTCTGAGTATTTAGTGAACTGATGCATTAGAGAAGGTGCTAAAAGACCAGAGGGCACCTTGCAGGGACTGCAGACTGGAAATTGGGCCAAATGCTTCGTTTTCTTTTGGATAACTTATTTAATAAGACAGAGTTGGAGCACAAGTCCCCCCAGGGCCATGAAAGCACCACACTAGACATGAAGTTGGCTTCCCAGAGCCCTTTCAAGAACCAGCACTTGTCTCATTGAGCTTATTGCCTGCTTTAATTATTCCTCAGCAGTGGGCTTGGGTTAACTCCCAGCATCTCCTGCTGGAGAGCGTCCTGCACATCCCCTGCTCCCTGGGAAACCCTTTCCCCAAATTCTTCCTGCCTGGCATGGTGTCTCTCTTCTGAGTTTCCCAGCCTAAGCATTCCCAGTATCAATACCTCTCCCTCTGCAGCCCCACTCAGAGCCACCTCAAGCTCTTTTTCCCAACTGGTTTCCCCTGCTTTTCTGCCAACCTCACACCCTCGTGACCACCTCAATGCTTTCTTAGCACCCCCACATCACCCTGTTAGTCCAGTAGTCCAGAAAAAGGTTCACCAAACCCTCTAGGAAGTGGCCACATACTTTTTTATTACTATTATTTTTTTGTTTTCTCCCAAATCACCATCCATGCCCCCACTTTTATGAAACAATACCCAGGAGGGACGATAGGAAATGGAGCTCGTGGTTCATTAAAGGACACTAATCCTTTTGCGTCAGTGCAATGCCAGCCTGGGCTGCTGCTCCTCCCCTAATACTCTTGTAATTCGGGGTAATCTGAGGTAGTTTTGTCCTCAGTAAAAAAGAGAAAACTATTTCCCATTTCCTGCAGGTAGGAGCACACAGGAAGGCAGGTACTGCAGGGCAGCAGCTGCCTGGTGGATTTGCCTGTGAGCCAGTCCAGGACAACCTGTTTGTGCAGCTCTACCTTTTAAAAAATGGGTCTCAGGCAAAATAAAAAAAAAAATAAAATAGTGGGTTTTTTGAAAAAATTGCTTTTGAAATTGCTTCCCCAAATTAGTGTATGATTTCTGCAGGGTGGTTTTTCTCAGGAGTCTGCAAAGCTCCAAGGTGACCCCAGGCTGGGGGTCCACAAGCTGCTGATTGCTTCCCCCAGGGCTTTGAAAATACATGTTCCTACAGGGCACAGAGCTGCCAGGGAGCTGGAATTTCTGGACACAATATCCAATGGCAAAAAGAAAAAGGAGGAGAAAAACATAACAACCAGGCACCCGCAAATGGAAAAACACTGAGACCCAGTTTTTAGAGGCCTCATATTAAGAGATTTCAAGAAACTGCCTCTTTGCCTAGTTTTAGCATCAAGCCTCTGCTCATCCCCAGGACCAGAGTTTAGAAAAACAAACCCATAAAAGCAGATCACATGCCTTCTTTCCACTGCTCTGAGCTCTGTCAGAAATGCTGTTCAGCTCCCAAAAAGTGGACAGAGGTGAGGAAAGAAAGCCTGGTTTTGCCAACTCTATAGTGTGACAGTATATAATAAAACCCCTTTGTTGCACAGCTGTGGATTCCAAAGTGCTTTGCAAAGGTGGACAAGTGCTGCCATGACTTCACAGCCAGAGCTCATAAGGCAGGGAATGGTTAAATGACATGCCCAAGTTTTTAAGAGTAAGTTGGTGTTGAAGGGTAGAAGGGCTCCCCAAGCCTGCTGACCATAAGTCATGGAGTTATTAAGAGACATGTTCAAATCCTTAAGAATAAGTCAGTGTTGGAGAGCAGAAGGGCTGCACAAGCTTGTTGAGCTCAGCCTTCACCTCCATTTACCCGTCTGCACAAAGATCACAGAGAGTTTGGCCTTTTTTCCCTAAATCCCAGAGCATGACCCCAGCTCTGTGACACAGATGTCACCACACACAGAGTCAGAGGGGAAGGATCATACTCACATCTGCATAAACGTTGGTGCCAAACACGGGTGCCCAGTACGACGGCTCATCCTTACAGTGGGCTGGACAATAAATCCTAGAAAACAAGTTATTCATATTTATTCTCCATATCAAGGCTGAACAGGAAAGAGAGCTGCATTCCTGGGACATTTCAAGTGCCTGCATCTGGTCTGCAGGTGGCAACAGTGAATTTAATTATTTGTTCCCCTCAGATGACATTTGGTTGTTACTGCAGAACTGCAAATAGAGGGATTTAGACCAGTAAAAAAGGGATTGGTCTTTTATGACCTTTTCAAAGGGGAGCACCTGCATTTTTGCACAGTGCTGTGCACGTAAGTCTTTGCATGTTTGTGCTCCCCCGCCCTGCCACAACCTACACCTGCAAAGAGCAGCTTTCTAGAACATTCTTCCATGTTTTACAGTAGAAAGAAAAACCACATCCCAAAAATAGCAAATGCAAGAGAGTAAAGGCAGTGTGTGAAGTTGAACACTCATACATTGAGGTGTGCAGTGATGGGATCCCATAGCCTGACTTACGTGTTACTGAGGTGATCCGAAAACATAACATGAGTTTTCTGTTGTGATGGTAAGAAAAGCAGGGTGGCAGGAGGAAACACGCCATTCTCGACCCCCTCCTCTAGTTCATCCAGTAAAATCAGCTCTACTCCCACCAGCCCTCAGATTCAGGGAGCTCAGTACCCCCTGTTAAGCTGCCCCTCTTTGGAGCAGAGAAGATGGGTTTGTGTTACCTGGGGCAGTGGCTCGCTGGCTTTTTGAAGTGACACAACTCAGCTACTGTGGTGTAACAATCCAGTGTCTGTGCTGCCAGGAGAAACAGGGAGAGGAAAATTATTAGACCTAAAAGCTCAGGTAGCTGCAGAAAACACATGTCACAGTCGCACAACACATCTGGTGAGACCCAGCTGAGGGCACCAAGGGGAAAGCTGCTCACTCCCACACCAGCAGCAAAAGCCCAGGAGAGGGTTGACCAGCTCTCCAGCAGGAATCCTGGCACCATAACACTGTGTGGCCTTGAAAAAGTCACAGCTTTCAAAAGGGAAAAGCTGATCCACAACATGTGTTTTTGCTACAGCTCCAAGTGTGGAGATATAATAGTCTGATCCCTACAGCTCTCCCTGAAGATGGCTCAGGTGGATCTATTCAAAGTGATGATTCTGTGTAGGAGGAATTTTTCAAAGATATTCAGGAAGTGGGAATTGTTTAAAAAGTAGAGCTCCACAGTATTTATTTATATGCTCATCACAAACGTGATGACTCACTGTTAGAAACTAATTTCACATGTATTACGTGTTCCATTACAATATTGCACTGGGACATTAGCCACTAGTTTTTTTCAGCTTTGGAAGTGTTCACACTAGACTGAGGTTTTCATACATGGATGGCTCATCTTCCATCCCTTTGCTATCAGAAGTTTGTGACGCTGCAGCTCAAGTTTTGACCCCACCATGGTCCATCACCGGGAGATGCTGCTGGAAATGGCCCATTATCACAATTTTCTGTACCTTTTTCTGAAATATCCACAGAAAAAATGAGCTGCTGGTGCTGCCCACAGTAGGTGGGCAATCACTCCAGGGTTCTAGCTCACCCTAGATCACCACTCCAGGGTTTGGCTGTGGTACAGAACTATTTGACACAACCGCTCAAAAAGAAAAAGAGCACTGAAAAGAGTGATGTTTTCAAATATCCCACCAAACTTCAGCAACAATATTTTTTTTCCCCTCAACTTTTGAAACTTACTTGTGACTTTGGAAACCATGAATGCGTTCGAAGGTTTACTTTTCCTGCAAAATAAGCAAAGAAAATAATATATTAAAAATGAGCATAGCAGAATGACTTGGGTCGCTCTGCCTACGTATGAGTAGCAAAGAGAATTCAACATCATTTGGAGCTCAAATACATTTGGTGTTTAAAGCAAACACCAAACTTTCTGGTGAAGGCAGTACCTAAAAGACTCCACGCCGTTCCTGGTGGACTTCACAAAAGCAGGTGTTCTCCCCTTCCTTGTGATATCCACCAGCCCTCCTTCGTTATCCAGGATGCCATAATGGATGGCAGCACGACAAATGCTGGATGACTGACAAGAGCACAAATAAATAGCGTGTGAAATAAATCTGCCCAACCACTGGGCGAAAAAAAGAAGGAGAAATTAAACCACCACCAAAGCACCAAGTGGAAAATAAGCTGAGTACGCTCCTTTGGAATCTGGTTGTTAAATCTTACTCTCCCAGCACAGCCTTATTCTTTTATTACTACTATTATTTTAAGCTCTGCCTAGTTGAATGGCTTTTTTTTTTTTTTTAAATAACAAAACCATACATTTAAATACAATTTAGAAGAAAAGCAGTGTTGGAAGTGAACGACCAGTCTGAAATATTTCCAGTTCTCAACAAAATATTCCAACCCAAAATATTTCTGCTGACACCACTTGGAGGGGATGGCTGGCTGCAATCACAAGAGTTGCAGGGGTGATGCAGTCACACACCAACAGTTGGAATGGGGAAAGAAAACCAGATTTTACACAAAAAAAATTTTTATCTTCAACCTTTACTCACCCCAAAAGTAGTTTTGATGGGAAAACGGTGCCATGCTTTATTTATAAATTATCTTGCTAACTCAAGATCCAGCAAATCAGCCCCAAATATTATTTAGTTGCAGCATTTAACAGTGTTTTTCATCAAAAGCTGCCCACACCAATGAACAGCTCTTTGTAAGAGCTGCCTATTGATCCCCATCCCTCACGTTCTGTGGGTGTCCACATTAAGGACAACTCACGATAAAATCGCGTCTGGAATCACTTTGCTTTCCCAGACTCCTTTTTATTTCATCACTAAGATGAGGAAAATACAGATAATCTTTATTAGCACCATTTTACAGCACCACAAGCGGAGAATATGAAAAGCCAAATTACACTAGAATGGCTGGCATTTCCCATTTCTGTTATTACCACTAACTCCCCACAAGTTACATCCATGAGCTATTAAAAGGTACTTACACTTTCATAATAAAATGTTCCAAAGATCTTTCCCTTACTGTACAAGCAGCCAGCTGGGCACAAATACCTGGTGAAGATATATATCTTTGAGGGTGGTAAAAAACAATTCAAGAAAAACAGACTTTGACTCCACTTAATAGTCATTCCATTCATTTCACGTAACTCTTCCATTTTAAAAACAAGATTGCAAAATAGCTACTTTTTAAAACGGTTTCTCCACCCTCCTTAAGAACCCAACCCAATATTTAGATTCTGCGGATTTGGTTTTTCTCCAAGTGATAAACTGTCCTGTTCTTTGCAGAAACCTTAACCAGAAGTTCTTGACTGGCTGGGGGGGGACAAGCCATGAATTATTGGTCTGGCTTGGACAGCAGTGGAATGCATGAAAAACGCTCGAAAAATGACTCTGCCAAAATTTACTGAATTATTTTGGCCACCTGAAACTCTGGGTCATCACGGCTGAATAAAATAAACCAAAGCACCGTATTGCCAGGCTTGGCTGAAGGCTTGCATGAGGAGAAATTTAGAGGATGTTTTTTGTTGGGTTTTGTTGAGATTTTATTTGGTTTGTTTAGTAGATAGTCACAAAAAAATAAGCAGTACAGCCTATCCTATGCTTGCAACAACTGAGCAATATTTAGATTACTTTTTCCCGCAGCGCTCCAAGAAATAGCAATAAAACACTACCTGTTGCATGTTGAGCCTCTGCATTTGTCTCTCATCTTGGTTTCACAGGTAATGACTTGTGCTGGGGAGAAATAAATAAACAAATAAATAAATATTTTGAAAGGAAAGAGCTCAGCCTGCTCCTGCACAACCTCCACACATCTTTCCTGGAGGTCTTTGGTGCAGCAAGATAAAATCTTATTTTATCCAGCCTGGAGCAATTCGTACCTCTTTAGCTCTTCACCTGAGACAGGTGTCTCTGGAATATTAGCAAGGAAGAAGCATCTGACAGCTGAAGGCTTTGATTTACAGCCCGAGGTCTGCAGTCAGAGTCTCATTCTCCATTTAATTACAGACTCTCCAGATTTCAGTAGATAAACTTGAAAAGGATGTGTTGGCTTGCCTCACCTTGTTTGCTCAATAAGTCTTTTAATTAACAACAGTTAGAACACAACTGAGGAAGTACCAGCAGCTCTACAAATGACTTCAGAAATCTTCCCAAGCAAAAAAATAAAGAGGAAACAAAGTATAAAACCCAGAAAAGCTGCAAAGAGGGGAACTGCTGAGTGCAGAGTGTTTTAAATGGGAAATAAAACCTGTATTTTCTAAATTGATTCCTGATGGAGGGACCTTTGATACATTGATATTTTACTGAGATAAGGAGGACATAGACCTGCTGGAGTGAGTCCAGGGGATGCCACAGAGATGTTCCACGTGCTAGGGCATCTCTGCCATGGAGACAAGCTGGGAGAGCTGGGAGTGTTCACCTGGAGAAGAGAAGGCTCCAGAGAGACCTCAGAGCCCCTTCCAGTGCCTAAAGGGGCTCCAAAAGAGCTGGAGAGGCACTCTGGACAAGGGCCTGGAGGGACAGGACAAAGGGGAATGGCTTTCCCACTGCCAGAGGGCAGGGTTAGATGGGATATTGGGAAGGAATTCTTGGCTGTGAGGGTGGGAAGGCCCTGGCACAGGTTGCCCAGAGAAGCTGTGGCTGCCCCATCCCTGGATATGTCCAAGGCCAGGTTGGACAGGGCTTGTAGCAACCTGGGCTACTGGAAGGTGTCCCTGCCCATGGCAGGGGGTGGAACAGGATACAGGATGAAGTTTAAGGTCCCTTCCAACCCAAACCAGTCTGTGATTCTATGAAATGGCTTAAACAAACAAATACCTGTTGCAGATTGATGTGCAGAAGGCACGAGCGGCTTTTGAAAGCTTTGTTCACCACTTCTGGCAGGTTCCTGCTACAAGCAGCAGTGGATTTTCACACAGATTACCTCCCTCTCCACTCAAACATCCCCCCAGTTGTTTTTTTCCCTGAGCTTCCTCATCACTTTCCACCCTTTTTCCCATTGAGGTGCTTAAAAACTCATAGAAGCTGAAAAAGAGAGAGGTTGTCTTACTCATGTAGGATTCTGGGATGATTTTCTTGGGCTTGATAGATTTGCTGGGCTTGCTTTCCGGAGGGTAGAACCTCACTGGCTTTTGCTCTGCCACCTGTGGAATCTCCACTTCATTGGTCTCATCTGTCTCACCTATGATGGGATCTTCATAACGGTAATCTGGTTAGAAGAGAGGATTAAAAATAATTACAGTGTGTTCACATGGGTGGGGAGATCAGGCAGGTTCATGTTTTGAGGGAGGTGATTTAGTTTGACAAGGATCTGCTTTAAAACACCTGGAAGATCAAAAATGCCCATTAGATGCAGCACAGAGCTATTCCCAGGGAATGTGAGGGGAGGTTGCTCCTTTCCCACTCCTCTGGGCATGAAGCAGCATTTATAGCATCTTACAGTAAAGATTTGAAAGGATCCCCACTAATTAGTGAAAAGAGTGCTGATATTGCTGCTCCTGTTTCCCACAGAGCTCTTCCCTCTGACGGAAAACACAAATAGGTTGAAGAGCACATATTCCAACAGGGCATTCCCTCCCCTCTCCCCACTGCAGCCCACCTGCACCCCAGGGTCCTCCCCCAAACCCCACAAGGTGAAAAATGAGAAATGCCAGGTTGCAGCAAAATAAGCCTCTGCTTTGGGCAAGTCTCCAGGGAATCTGCCTCTTTTCAGGAGCCCAGTTCTCTCTGAAGCTAAACATGTGGGAGGAGAAAAACGACCCCAGGAGCTCCTGCATGCTGAGGGACAGCACTGCTATACTGGAGGGCTCACATTAATAATGTGTTTTACTCTCCTGAGTGAGGAAAAGTCATCCAGGATCCCTTTCTCTCCTCTGAGAGACAGGAATCACTGCATTCATCTTGCAGCTATGAAAACCAAGGTGGGGAGGGAGGAAAAGGCTCCATCCCTGGCCCCCGAAGGAGCAGGGCAGGTGGCCAAGCTCTGCCCACCCACGTCACCTCTGGGAAGCACTGGAGAACATTCCCTTCCCAAACAAACCCCGCAAGGACGGGATCGCTCCTGCCAGTGCTCAAAATCCTGCTGGAGCTCCCGAGCCAAACCTCTGGAAGCTCAGAGCTACTTCTCCCCGTCCCAGCTCTTTCATTTTCCCCAGGAAAACATGCTGAATCCAAGCTCCAGATTTTAAGCAGTTAAGAGGTTTTCAGCTCCAGCAGTGGCTGACGATTTCCCACGTGTCGCGATGTCGAAATGTTTAAGGATGACTAATTAAAAGGTGCACAAAGCTGTGGCTGCTTCTAATTAGAAGTTTCCACACCCTTGCTCAGCAATTTTCCCTATCCCAGAGGGTGCCCCAAGCCCCTCACCACGTACCTTTGTAGCAGAGGTTATTCTGGCAGCCTCCTCCATAGCTCGGGGGGCACTCGGAGCAGGGACGGCCGGTCTTGTACGGAGCTTCTCCGATCCAGTTGCCCCTGCAAGCACAGGAGAAACGTGCACCCATCAGACACCCAAACACCCACCCAAGACTAGAAACATCACCTGGCCCAAAGCAACTAAACAAAGACTAAACAACCAGCCCAGGAAAGTTTTGTAGGAAAAAATGTTCTTCCTCATGTCACCTCCAAAATGACATTTTTAGGCGTTGACATAAATATATCGTGTGCAGTGTCACCTTTATATTAACTTCCAATATAAACACTGGGATCTTATGTAAACAGAAATAAATCAGTGGATTACTGCATTTTTCTCAAAAAACTTCTCAAAAGAAAAGCCCATTTGGGCACTTTGTCCTGCAAACTTTAGGGGCCGAGGAGGTTGAAGGAGCCGGAGTTAAGCCCACGGCTACGAACTCCTGGGTTATTGCTCTTTCAGCTGTCTCCACCTATAAGGCTAGATGAGGACAGTGTGCACCGATGCCAGAGAGAAAAGATTAAGCAGAAACTGTAGGAATAGAGTATTTTTCCATCCAGCAGCCCTCAATGGATGACGTGCAAATGGCCCAGCCTGTTGTGGGAGCTGTGCAGGAGATGAGGAGCAGTTTGTTAAACCCCTCCAAACCACGAGCAAAACGAGTATCTAACCAGGGGAGAGGGGCTTAGACAACACACCCAAAGAGCTCTGTCTGGGTCATGACAGCTCTATACCCACACACCTTTTTCCTTTGCATTATTCTGCACTATGATCCCCAGAAGTCAGATGCTGTCCAAGCCGCTCCATTTGCATAAAGGTGGCTTCCCTATTTCATTTTGTTTTGAAGTTTTAAATTGCCAAGGGCTTGGAGTGGGAATGTTTCTGCTATTAGCCATTAAACCAGAAAATATTAAGTGCCATTGCCAGGTAGGAAACTTCTCCTGGTTGTAGTAGGCAAGAAATGTAATTTTCATTTTGCAATTTAAGCAAACCATCGAGCTAGGGAGATTTTCACTGATGCAGTTATTTCAGGGTTTTTTTGGCATTCACCACCACCCCATCCCCTCCCACCCTCTGACAGCAGAGAGCAAGCCTCACTCAGCAGCACACGCCAGCTCCATCCTGGCCACCTCCTGCTCCTCCTTCCCTTCCCGTGGCAGGAACATCAAAGCTCCAGCCTGGCCCAGGCCCCTCATTCAGTTTTCCAGGCAGTGCTCAGTAGTTTTGAACCAGCCCTGTGTTGCTGCCTAAAGAGAAAATTTAAAGCCACAACCACCAGTCTAGACTGCCTGAAATCTCTTCCCCAGATCCTGGGCTAGTTAAGCAACCTGCCAGTTTTGGGAGAGCTGGAGAGAGCCCAGCTGCTCTGCCTTACTTGGGGGAGTAGTTGCAGACCAGGTAGACAGCGTTCTCCCAGATTTCTCCCCAGACATTCATCTGCTTGCAGACGTTGACAGCACAGCCAATCTTGTTGGTCGTGGCCCAGACTATCTGCAAGGGCAATACAGTTATTGAAAAATAAGGAAATCCCCCCAATCCAGGCACAGCTGGGACATGTGGAGAGTTTGGGTACAATGGTGTCCTCTACCTGGGTGTAGTGTGTGCACATAGAGCCTGTGCACTTGTCTGGGCACCACGGGTTGCACTCATGAGGATGAGGAAATGTGTAATCTTTGACTTCATCATACCAAGACTGGACGTGGAAAGCTGGGGATCGATACCTGAAGGAGAAAAAAGGCAGTTTGAATCATGACGTTCTGGTAGAAATTTTGGAATTAAAAAAAAATCTCATTGACAATGTTAATGATGATAGTTAAGATTAGATATTGGGAAGAAATTCTTCCCTGTGAGGGTGGTGAGGCCCTGGCACAGGTTGCCCAGAGAAGCTGCCTCATCCCTGGAAGCATTCAAACCCATGTTGGATAGGGCTTGGAGCAACCTGGTCTCATGGAAGGTGTCCCTGACCATGACAGCATAGCTGGAACTGGGTGATCTTTTAGGTCCCTTCCAACCCAAACTGTTGTGTGTTTCTATGATTTTTTCCCTTAGATTCACAGCCTGACCTGACTCTGTATTATTTATAGGTTTGACACGATCCTCAAGTGCCACTGCCCTGAAATGCCCTTCTCACTTTTCCACACAACTACAAAATAACTTCTAGTTTGGCGGAAAGTTGTATTTTGAAAGTAAACAGAAGTGAGGGTTTGCCAAACATCTTAAACCAAAAGCCATCGTGTACCTATTTTACCACCAGGCAATTTGCTAAATCTGGAAGTACCCCCAGAGCTAATACTGTAAGACCTTGGAAAGTGAGTGGGCTTTTCCACACTCACATCCCACCACGAGCTGGTGAAGAGTAGCCGGAGCACTACATCCCTATCCCACCTTCTATTGCAGGAATTTCCCCCTGCACTGAGCCCCCCATGTACTTTGTGTAACCTATGCTCCAAGTACCACAGCCTGGGGCAGTGCTGATGCTGCTTGTGCACATCAGGGAGCACAAATGGTGTCAAAATTACCTGTAGAAATATGGATTTTACACGCTACATACGCAGAGGAAACAAACTGATCTGCAAACTGCACCAAAGCCACTGCTTTTTATTGCTTTCAACAGCTCACATGGAGCAAGCTGCCAGAATTCCAAATGATATCATTACCAACTGGAGCTCACTCTTTCAGCCAACTTTTCATTAAAAATCATTCATTAGAAGTATTTTGAAAACATCCATCTCATGATGTCATGAGGCGAATACTTTCCGAGTCCTACTTTGCAGGAGAGGAAATTGAGGCAATCAAGTTATGGCCCGTTCCTGAAAAAGCTGAGATAAATCTGATTTCTCTTTCCTCTCAGTGGCTGCAAAGGGAGCAAGATTGGATCTACCTCCATCAGGAACCCATGGCCATCTTGAACACTTGTAGGAGAGCCAAGAACAGCACGATCTTTTGACTTTGTTTCCAATGGATTAACCACTCTACTTTCCAATCATTAGTTAATTCTGCCAACAAAAACGAGCCCGATTTTTATATCAGGCTAATTTCACACCAGCAAATTTCCATTGCTTTCCACCAAGTTCTACCTGATTTACAGCAGACATAACTGCATTTCCACCCAGGAAATGGGTGGAAATCCCTCAGGGCTCCTGAACAAGTACAAGATGTTTGCTGTGCAAAGCAGGTTTAACCTATAAAAGGCTTAACAACACGGGCTTAACAAAAAAGAAATTTCACCTTGAGATGGAGAGGAAAATCCATTTGGAAGCCTTAACATCAGCTTTCTTAACTAAGAACTCTGGTTTAAAAACTTGCCCCAGAAAGTTGAAAAAAAAAAAAAATCTACAAAGTGTTCTCAGGAAAGAGAAATTAGAAGCCGGATAAATATTTGTTGAAAATACAGCAAGAGATAATTAAATTCATAACTAACAGTTGAATCCAGACATGGCTCCTGAGAAACTTCAGCTTTCCCCTGGTTCTCTACATGATGCCAGAACCCTTCCCTGAAACAGCAGATTTAGGAGCAAGGGTTAAGACTTCTGATCTCCTTAAGGAGTAGGAGTGACCTTAAGCAGGTTACAGCTGTGTTACCCAGAGACACAGATGGGTGGAGGAGCCCAAATCAATGCTGGTTCGCTGGGAACTGTGGTGGCTGCAGGTGTTACTGGGATAACTGTTCCACCAAAGCAATCACAATTAATGATCCTCAGCTTTTCTTCCCTTTCCCCAGTGCTCTGTCAAGCACCAAAGCAAGCTTTTCCAACTGTCTCTAAAGGAGGATCCATAAATTGCTCTTTGCAGTGATTCTGTAGCCCCCCCAGCTCTTACCTGCCCCAGTGAACCGCCAAGTTCTGCCCGATTGACCTGATGAGGTCACTGGGCCCGTGGTCCCAGATGCACTGCTGAGCCCAGGCCTGGGCTGATCTTTCCAGCTCATCATCCCAGGTCTTCAGGGCATGGAGAGAGAAAACAACAGGTCATTTTTTCATCTCAGACTTATTAGATCAAGAGATGAAACCAAGAGCAGTTACTGGAGAAAGGTTAAATTACAGTTCATGTGTACGTGTCCAGCCTGCTCTGATGGAGCCAGCACAGTTCAGTGATGTGCCCCAACCTAAAGCCACATTTCTCAAGATGTTCCATTGTCATGAAAGTCCAGGGCACTAAAGGGTCTGTGATTTGGCCTGGTTGATGCCATGCTTCTTGGGAAATGCTTTACACAGGTCAGCAGAAGACACACAGACACACCTGGGAAGAGCTCAGGAAGCCATCCAGACTATCCACCCTAAAACACCAGATATTCTTGACAGGGTTTTTTTCCTAATATATTTTAAAAAAAAATTAAAAAATTAAAAGTCAAGGTTGGAGTCTCAGGACTTGCTCATGACACCTATTTCTGAGACTTGCAAGAGTTCGAATGTGCAGTCAGTGCTTTGATGTTGATTTTCCATCATTCCTTACTGTCGGGATATCTCCATTCTTTCCCATCAAGGACAATTCCAACAGTGGATGTATTCCTGCCCTCTGCTACCACATAGCTGGAGATTTTTGGTCCAAGTTCTTAATCAAGAAGTGTGGATCTGAGTCTCCCAGTCCCAACTCCCCATCTCCTTCCAGACTAACTGCAGAGTCCACCAATGGATCCAGCCAAATGCATCAGAGCAGGCAAAGTCCCAGTTAATCTCACTCTCACTCAAAGGCATGAGGTTGGAAGTGACAAATCCCATTTCTGTTCCCACTGAGGGAAGGACGTTAGTGTGAGATCACTCCTCATGGAATATCACCCAGCTGGAAGCCAAAGCAGCGCTCAAACATGACACAAAGGCAAATAGGAAAGCAGCTCTGCTGGCTCCGCTGCCCAGGAGTGTATTTGTTCTAAAAGCCAGACTTGCTGGGCCCAGCAGCCAGTGCCCTGAATTCATTGTGTAATTACTGACAGCTGCTCTATTCAGAACAGCCCTCAGAGGATAATTCATTGGGATTAAAATATTACCACACATTCCTACAAATAAAACAAAAGAGAAGAGAGGTCTTGTAATGTGTCTCCAGCCCATTCACGTGCCAGCACAAGATTGTCCTTTTGGACATTTACCATCACAACCAGCTGCTCTTTCCAAGTCCTGTCTTCTCCAGAAAAAAGCAACTTCTGATCTCAAACATATCAAAGGACCTGCAGAGCCTTTTTGGAGGGCTGGAGAGCATTCAGGCTCCCAAACACATTTAAAAACCATCAAGTGTTCGTTCTGAGTGAGTATCTGGACACAGTGTCAGGCAGTCATAGCTGGGATGGGGAAGGACTGTGCATCCCTGGATAAGAGGAGAGGAAAACACAGTGTCTCCTGGAACTTGGTGTGTCCACACTATCTGTGTAAAGAAAACATGAGCTCATCTCACTGAGCTCACAGCCCAGGCCTCCCAGAACAGCTTATCATTAAACACACTCAGCAACCCAGATTCCAACAACATCCCAGAGCTGCCCTGGGCTCATCAGCCTGGCTTTGGGCTGACCAGTGACCAAGCAAATCCACGTCAGTCTGCAAAACCCCGTGTGGACACAGCTCTGACCCAGGGAATGAAACCATTTTCCGTCCCAGCCCTCCAGCTCCTTGAAGGTGATGGGATTGGACCCACCACACACATTCCCAAACCTCTATCCCAGCAGACTGTTGCAGCTGTGCCGAGACACACAGCTTTTTGTGGTCTCCCACTTTCTGCGCTCGGCAGTGACCAGCCACAACCCGCCTTCCCATCCAACACAAAAGCCACAGACACTCTCCCAAGACGTTCTGCGCTGCGAGTTCCCCAGGCTTTCTAGCACAGCATCATTCCCTGCAGCCTCAGAGGCGGAGATGCTCCAAAGTTCCTAATTTAATGCAGAGACGTTGTGAGCAATAGGCCATTAAAAGGAAATTAATGCCAACATTTGCGTCCCATCTCCCTTTGATGCCTACGGATAAAATAAATGAGCTCGGACAAAAGACACTCAACAGGTAATTGGGAATGAGCTCTGTCTTTGCACAGCTTTGTTCTGGATGAGCAGAGAAGTTCATTTCTGCAGGCTCAGATTACAAAGCCATCCCATTTAAATCAGAGCAGTTATTTGCCTCTTGCTTCTCAGACGCGAGTGCGGTCAGGACGCTGGAATTATTTCAGAGCAATAAGTATGGGGGGGGGGGAAAGAGATTTCAGACTTTCCCAGCTACACTTGCAAGAATTCTTTATGCCAATATTCAAAGCAGTATCTAGGAAGATTGCTGAAGCCAGAGGGGCAATGAGCCTGTGCTCAGTTTCCTTCACAAGCAGAGGCTGAGAATCCTTTGGGTATGTGCAATTCCAAGTGATTTAGCACATGGACTGTCTTTTTCACTCCTGAAAATTCATAATGGTTTTTGAAAGTACAGTATATATTATATATAAAAAATATATGCATGGCATACACATGTTATGCTACAACTTGTAGGTTCAGATTTAGTAAGAACACATCCCACAAAAAGTCTTCTTACTCAGCCTCAGGACTTTGCAAACCTGACTCCAGACATCTGAGTTCCAGTGATCAGGTTACTCACTCATTATCCTCTCCAGCTTAGACTTTCTGCAGTACTGGCAGCTTACTTTTAAAAGTGCCATGAAACTTCAGGGCTGACATGTCCTGGCAGAGCCCTGGATGTGCTTTGCTAACCCCCACAGAAATACTATCCCATCCTGACAGGGAAAGTCAGCACCCTACAGTTGAGAGGAAGGATGCATACCTTATACATGAAAACAAACTATTTTCCTTCCAGCAATCTGCACTGAGAACAATTTTGCTTTATCCAGCTGTCTCTGAGGCCGCTGCAAGAGGAAAGACTTCTGTCTTTCATCACTGCTGAAAGCCATCTGACTAAGCCATATTAAAAGGTCACAATGCCTTAGGATCTATTATGTCCTTTTTTTACTCTGGGTCCATTATGTTCTTTTTACTCTGGGCCTATTAACAAGGGGTTTGTTTTGGTCTTGGCACCCATCCACTGCTGTTACAAAGTCCAAACACGCAGTGGAAGTGTCGATCATAGATTTGTTAGAGGGGTTAAGGTAATTCTGTGCTGGCCCAGCTTCATCAGGAAGTTGTGCACTGCTCACTCATTTTCCATTAACACTGAATACCTGTGCCAACTTTCAATTAATTACACAAACCCAGCAGCTAAACTGTATCTTTCTTCATTTTTTCAGTCTGCTTCACCTTTATCCCATATGTATATAATTCTTTTCATCTCCAGATGAGTCATAGGACCCAGTTTGGTATTGGATTCTTATCAACAATGTCCAACAACTTAAGTTCATCCTGTAGTAGTTAAATATGTCCCTTTCCTGGAATACTTTTGCCCCCATTGCCATTTTAGATCACTTAAATGCATCGGATATGGAGCTGGGAGAAAGGACTTTCACAAGGCAGTGTTTGGAGATGGATGGGCAAGAACATGCTCTACCTACTTATGCCCAAATTATCGCTGCACGTCGCTGGTGACACTCCACACGGGCACCAAAGGGAAAGAGAAAAGTTTATCTGTGGTACTAAAGACAGACCATCCTCTTAAACGAGTCCAAATGAGAAATGTCCTATGCAGGACAAAGAATTAAAGAGAAATTCCCGTTCAGCTTATACACAGCATTTCCAAGTCATCCTGGGTAAACAAGAACACATGAAAGGCTGATTATGGCCCTTCCAAGCAGCACCATCTTATACTCAGTTCCTTTCTTCACAGCACATAAGGCCCTTTCATTTGCCCTCAATCAGCCATAAAAACCACTAGAAAAGCTCCCTGAGCAAAGGCAAACAGAGAAGTGTAACCGCACCGCGAGCGCAAACAGCAGCCGGGCAGTGGACAGTCCACAGCACTCTGCCATCCCCAGAGCCAACCCAAACACACTGGGCTTGCTCATGCTCTGTGTTTACCCTCTGGAAGTCAATCAAGTTGCCTCTTCTGGCAGTACTTCCCTGCAGGATAACGTGAGAGCCGCTGAAGAAGAGATACAATCACTGGTTCTTAGAAAGGCACGCGATGCCTGACAAAAGCGCTCCAGGAGACCAGCGGGGTGAGTGCTGGTGGGGACCAAGCCATGGACAGTTGTCCTTCCTCAGTGTCCTCTGCCCTCCCTTCTCTTTTCCTTCTCCTTGGAGTCACAAAAGGCAAGATTTTCCATTTCCAGCCCTCATTTCAGCACAGTTGGCAAACAATTTTATATGACATTCAAGTGTACTTTTCTTTTACCCTTTTAAAAACGGTCTTAACAAATCATTAATCACTGGATCCGTCAGCAGAAGTGCACAGTTGAAGTCAGACTAGCCTTGGTCAGAACTATATTTGCACATTGGGAAAAGGCACACAAAAAATAATTATTTGCCTACATCATTTTGTGGCCCTGTAATATTTTGATGGCACAGCAAAAATAGCTCAAAGGAGGGTCTCTGGCATCAAGTGAAGAAAAGCTATTCATGGGAATTGTTGATGGCAAAGGCATATTTCATTCTCAAACCTTTAAGTTCTCCCTCTGAAGTGGGAGAATACATTGACCAAACTTTTATTTTGGTTTCCTGAACTACAAAAAGCCAATAGCACTGACCCATCCACCCATAAACTCCCAAAGTCCTTCCAGCTTTTTCCAGTGATTCAAAATCTTTGGAAGTGGAGCCACATTCCTCAAGCCCTGTTTCTCTGTGGCCCAGAGCAGATTCCCAGCAGCATCCTGGATGTTTGGCTCACATGGATAAGCTCTGGTGATCAGTGTATGACAAGAGGACAGATGCCACCTCCAGCCTTGGGTGGTAGCTGATGGCAACCCAAAGACCATCAGAAGATCCTCTGAGCAGAGTGTGGTGTCCCAAAACACTCCAAACAGCCTGAAACCTTTCACAGGGAGAACATGGGTTAAACACTAGGGAAAATTTGATGCTTTTATGACATTAAGGTAATGGAAGAACCTGCTGAGGCAGGCTGTGGAATTGCCATCACCGGAGATGCATCCAGGGCTGGGCCAGACCTCATTTATGAATAATGGAACCAGTCCTGAAACTATGCAGTGGATGGACTAGATGACCCATTAGCAGCCCTTTCCAACCAAAACAGTCCAATGATCTAAAGCATCGTTCACTCTGGAATGAAATTGCTTCAGGAAACCTCTTGAGAAAAACTTACTTCAGAGGAAATTTGCTGCACCTCCCGCACCTCAAGGAAAATTAAAATACAGTTAGGAAATACAAAAAGTAGCAACAAACTGAGGTGTCAGGCACTAGACTCACCATGTATTCCATATTAGAGGCCACTGGGTAAACTTGACCTCTCAATTTATTGTGGAGCATCAGGATCTCCTGTCTGTCCGAGAATAAAATGGCTCTCTTGGATCTGGAGTGAGCTTCCCCATCCTGATATTTACTCAGGATGCTCTCCAGGTGACTCGAGTTGGGCAAGATAAAGCATTCAGCTGTCATTGTCAGGAGCAGTACACATCCAAGAGGAATGATCCAAGGCAGGGCAGGATTCATGCTTCCTCCTTTACAGCCAGTAGAAGCAAAGATGAAGGTGACAGTAGGTTTTCTTGCTGGGACTCCTATGGCTCAATACAGATCTGGAATTTGGGGAGAAACAGGCAGTGAAGGCAGTGCCAGAGAAGCTCTCAGTGCATATATCACCTGACAATGAGGCCCCACAGACCGTTTTTGTGCTTGTAAATAAGTGATGCCTACAATTCCCGTTCACCCCAACGACAGGAAGATCCAAACAACACCCTGAGTGATGGGGACTCAGTTTCTTACACCACTGATGTGCTGGGACTCATGGCAGAAGGTGTCTCCTGCACCCCAGCATCTTTGGTGGAGGTGCCACTCCACAATGCCCAGCAGCTCTGAGTAATCCCAGCTCCATCCCGTCACAGGCAGGAAGGGGAGACATTTGGAGTTATTCCCACAAAGAGCAGCTGCTAAAGTAGAGAACAGATATGACTAAAAGGGAAAGTAAAATTCCCAGGAGGCCGGATCGCAGAGGTCAGGCATCAGCACGAGCTATTCGGGATGGAGCCCAGCAGGGCGGCTGCCAGGCTGTGTGAGGGAGGCTCTTTATGGGAAATGTCACCGTAACACCAAACAACGCCAATCCCCGCCGGCAGTGACGCCCCAGGGGGGGTCTCTGACGAGGCGCTTCACGTAAGGTGGGATCAGGGCCAGGGATGTGTTATGGAAGATCAGGAGAGCAGCCGGAGCACCCGTCCTCCCCCGGCCACATCAAGTGTTCCCGTGCACTTGGAAGCATTGTCAGCACAAAGGGCTCAGAGGGATGGTTTTGATTTGGTCATTGCCGGGTTGGAACAGCTTTGTTTAATCCCTCTCCCTTGCTCCATGGTGCTTCCACTCCACTTGCTATTCCCAAACTCCCCCCTGCTCCAGTTTATCCATCTAACAATCCTTGCATGTCTTGGCAGGTTTTATCTAGATCAGGAGCTGTTCAGGGCTCTGCAGCACCCACTGCTCCTTACTGAGATCTAAGAGCCACTGGAGTATGATCAATCCAGGCAAGAACCAACCGTACAGACAGTGTAAGCACAGGATCTCCCTCCTTAGGACAAAATTTTGGAGGAAAGCTTCCCCATCCCTGCCCACAACATGAGGTGAGGATCTGGTTTTGACAGCAGTGTTGAAAGCCATGCTGAAAGCATTCCTACACAGCAGCGGGAAACAAACCCCACATTAACAGGAATTATTCGAGAAGTTTCATCCCAGTGACATGGGATTTGGACACACTGAGACCAGCTGAGCTGGAAACCATCCAAGGCAGGGAAAAGCCATCCAGCTCCCAGCTGGAAAAGCTATGCTCAAGCACAAAACCCCAGATCCCCATTCCCCAGACCCAGCACAACAGCAACTGTGGAGGACAGTGGCAAGCATGAGGTGCTTTGCACAGAGACCCCCCAAAAAACTTTGAGACTATTGACAAACCCTGAAAACTTGTTGGCTGACTACACAAAAGACACGAAGTCCCTGTTTGAGGCTTCTTTCTCGTACTGAATATTAAGGCAGATGAAAACCAGCTGCCCTCAGCCTCTCTCCAGGCAGCACATTAAGCCTTTGCCGGGGTAGGACAATGCAGGATGTAATTTGCTCAGTTTAGGTAACGGCTTCTCATCATTTCCTGCTCTGCAGAGCAAGTCCAACACACACGCCTTGTCCCCAGCTCCAGGCACACCTGAAGACAGGACGTTCAGTGGCACCGGGACAAATATTCCTTTAACCTCATCCTCTTCTCAGCCCTGTTTGTGGCATTCACTTCCCCCCAGGCAGGAGCCTGACTTTCTAACCCTGCTACAGAGGGGCAGGGGCAGCAAAACGAGCTGTAGCTTTTGTAGACTGTCTGACCCAAATTCAGGGAACAATTCCTACTTTGAGGCACTTCCCCAGGAGTTTAAAAATAGTTGCAGTGCCACGGCCGTTTACAATGTGGCCTTTTAGCAGCGGCAGCTCTCCCTGCAGCCTGGCCTGGAGGTAGAGGAACAGCCGGCGCTCAGAGGCTGCCGTTGCACCCCTTGCTTGGCCGGGTGCCCTTCACTAAATAGGAGCCCGAATCCACCACCCATTTAAGGCAAACACTGAACTTTCAGAAAGGGCAGACTGAAAAAAATCAACTGTAACATCTGAGAGCCAGAGGAGCTGCCCCACTCCTGGCTCCGCAGCGAAGCCAGTGCATCTGGTTTCGCGACTCAGCCAAAAACCTCGCAACAGATGGTGCATTATTCCTCGGGATGTGCTTCCCTGGATCCCATTTGACAGCAAGGGGATACCAGCACCTCTCTAAAATTAGGTCACTTTGGTTTTATCTTCTATTTCACTTTGGGTGTGCGAGTCCCTTCCTCTGTTTTGGTTCGAGGTGGGGAGCACTGAGAATCCGAAGGGAGGATAAAGGAATTGGAGAGGGACAGAGTGGAAAGAGTTCCCTGGCCAAACTAATTGAAAGCAGCAGAAAGATGCTCACATTTCAGAGAGCTCTCATCGATTTCAGATGTCCATCCATCTGCCTCTTGATACCCTGGTGCCCAGGTGCAAAGAAACACTGGGACACGTGTTGCAGCTCAGCCAGACCAAGTGCCCTGCAGAGCTGGGGCGATGCCTCCGGGCTCCAGCAGGAGCTCCTCATATGGGAAGGCTGGAATCACGTTGCCTTTGAGTTGGAATTTGATATTATTCACAGAAAATTATCAGCTGACAGTCAGCTGAGGAAGCCTCTGCTGTTGATTTAAAGGGTTCAAGAGGAGCATTAGCACAACCTCCCTTTAAACACATCAGGCCCTTGATGCTGGTGCCAGGTAAACATCTGGGAGCGATCAGAAATGACTGAGTCAGCAGAAACCAACTCCTCAGTGTGCTGAAAAGCCTGTCCGAAGTGGGGACAGAGAGGAGGCCTTCTTCTGGGGTCTGAGGGAGTTAAAGAGCAGTACTGGACTTTGGAGAAGATTATTTTTAGAAAGCTATTTCCCCAGCTAATGGATGGTGTCTGCTTTGCACAGAAAGCAGGAGAGCTGGTCCCATCTGAAGCCTGGCATGTGAGGCTGCTGAAGCCACATGCAGGCTGACTCCTGTACTTCAGGATGTCCTCATGTCACCTTATTCCTTATGGATATTGAGCTTTGACTGCCTCCCTGGTGAAGTACACGAGTGGGTGCCTACTCCTGAGTTGTGGGTGACATTTGCAGCTAAAGCATCCCAGGACCTGTGGAGTTGCACATGGCACAAGCTGACAAGGCAGGAAAATGCAGAAGTCAGCTTGGGATATCAGGAAAGTATCTAAAAGAGCAAAGCAAAGGGGAGATAGCATTCTAAATCAGGTTCTAAACTGAGTTAGTCTGGGATCAGCTTCTAACCCGAGTTAGTCTGGGATCTAGGATGAGTTAGCCTGGGATCAGCTTTTAACCTGGGTTAGCCTGGGATCAGCTTCTAACCTGTGCAAAGAAATCCAGCGATAAAGCCACAACATACTTAAAGCACTAAACTCCAGCCCATCTCTTTACCTGGGATGCACACATTTCAAGCCTTAAAGAACTGTGTTGGCTTCCAAAGAAAAGCAGGATGACAAGTTCCTTGACACAGGACAACTTGGTATGTTGCACTGAACACACCATAAACTCAGCACCTTCAAGCCCATGGGTCAAAACATCTGGATCTTCCATTACAATCCACTCCCACAGAACCCAAGTGGGTGAGTTTCTATGTAAAACCACATAGAAAACCCACTGGTAACAGACACCACATGTGGTGACACTGAAATTCCTTTAATATGGGACTTTAAAGCAGAACTGCACAAACTCTGGAGCACACTGGTGTGCCCACAGGCATCAGCTCTTAGACACTGCTACAGCATCCCTTGCATATTTTCTATTTGCACAGAAATCCACTCCTGCACTTGCAAACTCCTCCCATTCATTCAAGATTAATGTTTATTAATCTTACATTAACCTCTGAAGATCATACAGTAAGGGAAGTTCAGACAGCATTGTGTTATTTTATACCATCCAGACAACTTTTTGGAGAAGTTACTAAAATTGTGCCTTCTTAAAAAAGTAATTTCTTGCACACACCCCCCACCCCAAACCACATTTCAGAAGCAGGGACCAAACTTTACACTTACCTCACTGAGTACTCCCAAGTCTCCAGGTAACTGCAGCTCCTCCAAGCCTGCTTGTGGAGAATAAATTATGTATCTGAAATATTTAAGCTAGGAGGAGGGGAGAAGGATGGAACAAGCCTCGGGAGGTGCGAGATGTGCAAGGTCTCAGCTCAGCAACTCGTACCAAGTGCAGTCTCACAGAGCTCCCCAGTGGTATTTATGCTCTCCAGGCAAAGAGGACAAGCATGGATCATCCAGGGTTTGGCAACGGGTGTGGAGTAACAACGAAAAGAAGGGGGGTGGGGGGGAAAGGAGGGAGGGGGGAAAGCCACGGAAAGGAGGCAGGAGCGAGGAGCAGAGATTGGGATCGCGGCAGTTTGAAGTCAGTCATTGGGGCTCAGCAGAGCAGGACCATCCTCCCAAAGGCGGGAGCACCGGGAGGGGAGAGCAGCAGGAGGAGGAGGAGGGCAGCCCATGGTGGTATAAAAGGGCTCGCTGTGCCTTCCCCCGCAGTCGGTGCTCGGGCAGAGCTCGCAGCGCTGCGGATTCCAGGAGCTCCGGTGAGGAGAGAGAGGGGGAATCCAAGACAGGGTTTTTTTCCTGCGAGGGACTAAAGCCAGCTGGCTCCTCTAGGCTGCCAGCTCAGCCATTCCTGCTCCTCACAGGGAAATCCCACAGCGAGGGATTTGGGATTTCCCAGCTTCAGCCCTCCAGCACATCTCATGGCATCCCCCTCTTTTCCCAGAGCTGGGTGTCTGCTGGGAAACAGATTAATCCCTCTCTGCAGTTTGTTCCCAAAGCTCTCCCAGCGCTGACATTCCCCACGGCTCAGTCGGGAGCTCCAGGGAATAAAGGAAAGCAAAAAGCGAGTGCAACCCCCAGACAGGACTCACCCCTCCTGCTGTGCTGCTGGTGCCCCAACAGCCCCCGCTGTGACACCCAGCTCCGTGCCCATTGCCGTGGTTTCACTCACAGTGAAGGGAAACGATTGAGCAAAAAAAAGACAAGCTGAAAGTTCCTTCCCTTTTCTTTATGTAAACAAACGGGAAAAAACAAACCGCTCCGGTGAGTAACAGCAGGGGTGTGTTACGGCACCTCCTGCCCACAGAGGGATGAGCAGATCCAGGCATCGCCGTGCAGGGGAGTCCCGTGGGATCCCCATCCAGCAGCACTCCAGGGACAGCACATCACCCGGGGTGTCCCTCTGTGGAAGCAGCACCATCGACAACCCAACCTGGAGGCAAGGGGAACATCAGCCTCCTGGATTTGGCACATCCAAGCAAAGCTGCCGTGTCTTTTCCAAATCCACTGCCCAGTCCTCTCTCCAAAGTTCTTAGGGGGAAAAAAAGTCCTTCCATTCTTCTAAGCAGTCAATATTTATTTCTTCAGGCAAAACACCAACTGCTTTTATTTACTGTTTACTAGAAGGGAGTTTACAAGATATTCCCGGGGGTTTGCTAAGACCCAGCAGCGCTCAGAAAGCAGAAGGACATTTATCAAACTCGTTCAAGAGCAGCAAATATTGGCAATTGAGAGAGCACAACTGCTCTGAGCAGAGAACAGAACCCTCTGGAGTGCACTCCAAGGCATAACTGCTGATTTGATTTTGTCTCTTACACCATTTTCCTGAGAATTTTTCAGGAACTTGCAGATTCCCATCACTCAGGGTGTATCTTCTGCTCTGTTTTCAAGTGAGACAGGGAGCCAGTCCTCACCAGTCAGTCCCAGTCCTGCAGCCTGGTACAGCCACAACACCCCTTCTGGCTGCTCTTCTGCACTGGCCACGCTCTCCCAGCTGTATTTACAAAGAGTTTCTATTTACTTCAAAACAAACTGTGTATGTGAACTGACAACACATGGTCCAGCAGTTGGACCTGGCACTTCTACCTTGCCAGGAGCAATTCAGTGCAATCTGGGCAGTTTGCTCCCAAAAAAGCTCAGCCTTTGCCACTAACACTGGGAAAGACCACCCAGAACTGGGCTGACAGAAGGTTCTGAACTGCTTTACTGTAAAATCACTGTATCCTCCTTTTTTTTTTTTCTTGCTCCTCTGACTCACTCTGGATCAGTGACTTTGCTGTATTTCCTGAAGGCTTATTTAATCAGCTGAAAGGTGCTGCAGTTCCCCCAGTTCCTAATTTCTCTGAATAACGAGGGCCAACACGCTGAACCATCGTGCCCCCACACAGGCTGCCACCCCAAAACCACACAGCTCCCCAGCCCTGACTCACAGCCCTCAGAAGGTGCTGTTCACCCCAATTACCATAAAGCTGAATTAACTCATTCTCAATCTCACATGCCGACGGTACAAATAATTTCCAGACCTCAGAGAAATTCGGTATTTTGTAATCTCCACAAATGTTCTTATGGGAAATGATTCCCTGCAGGATGGTTTGGGCCGTCTGACTGCTCCATCAACCCGGCTACAATCAAATCTACAAAGATTTGATTTTTTTAATTTATTTTTTTAACATATACCAGGCTGGTTTCACTGTACAAGGTATGGTTGTGTTTAGGGATGAGCACAACCTGGAACGAGGCATTTTATCCACCTCATTTTGTTCTGAAGTCAGCAGTTTTGGGCCATATGTTCAACTAAAGCCAAAACAATCAGAAGTTACTTTTAATCATTCCACATTATTACTGCCTTGATTACAACGTCTCCATTTCATATGTGGTAAAAGCCACATAAAGCAGGCTGCATATATAAGTATATATTAGGAGAGAGGCTTTTAATGGAATAACCAATGAATGGGAAGAGACACAGATTTCCCTGTGCCCTCCTAATTGACCATGCAGACAGCATGTCTTGATCTTCAACTTGAATTAATTCCCCTTTATTTCCTATTCCAACAAGCAATAACGGGCCCAAAGACAGGCAGGGCAGAGGGAACAGCAGGGGCAGAGGCTGAAAACTGCAGGGTAACTCCTGGTGTTCTCTGGGCTTGACTCCTCCTCCAGAGCAGAGGGAGCACAAGGGGAATACCAGGGTGAAACCTGCAGGAACTTGCCTGTGACCAGGTACAACGAGAGCAGTGGGGACCAGCAGCCCCTGGGCTGCTCCTGATGGGCACCGGGCACAGCCATGCTCAGGTTTGAGGAAACACCACCCCGTGCTTTGCTGCCTACTTACATTTCTTCTCCTGCCTGGGCTTTGTCTCTGCCTGAGGATGATGCAGTGGGGCAGAGGTAGCCAGGAAATCCCTGCCACATCCACCTTGCTATCCAGCAGGGATGGAGGGAAGATGTCTTGACCACACAGCAAAGTGGCAATCCAGAGGTTTGCCTCTGGATTCATCAGCAGAGGAATGAACAAATTAATTAGCAGATGAATTGTGGAGATCCAAGTGACAGGAGTGAAAGGCATTTACAGATTTACTCCCAAGCACAACCAATATTTGGCACTGTGAACCCCTACTTATCCTTTCTCGCTGCTCTCCAGTTTTGGGGCAGCCTGGACTGACCACACAGGTTCATCTGCAGCTTCTTTTCCACCTTCTCACAATAAAGAACATTCCCCTAACTGTTTAATCAGCTCATGATATGCAAGAAAACAACTCCCCATAAAACCTGAGCTTTTTCATCAGTGCCCAAGTAAAGGTTGAGGTAAGAAAAGGAAATAAGCAGACAAGCAATTTCAGAAAATTTTGGGAGCACCACTGACCACAGTAAGTAGAAGTGAAATGTGTACCAAAAACTACAAAATTCTTCACTGTGAGGGTGGTGAGGCACAGGTTGTCCCATCCCTGGAAGTGTTCAAGGCCAAGTTGGACAGGGCTTGGAGCAACCTGGGCTAGTGGAAGGTGTCCCTGCCCATGGCAGAGGGTGAAAGGAGATGAGCTTTGATGTCCTTTCTGACCCAAACTGTTGTGGGACTCCATGAAAACATCTCACCTTTTTCTCACATCTCCCCACATTCCCTGGTCACATCTGCAGTGAGAGATGGTGAAACACACTTCTATAATAATAAATAAACTGGTATAATAATAAAGTAACTGGTACAGATCTGCAGACAGACAGGTCAGGACTATTAACCCAGGACTCATCTTTGGAGATTTCACCCTGAAACAGAGAAGGTGAATTGCAATCACAAACTCCACAGCCCTTACAGCTGGTTATTTGCCCATACAAAATTCTTTCAAAAAAATCCTATTGGGTAATTTAAAATAGCCTGAAATAAATCTCCAGTTGCACCAACCTTCAAAATCTTGGGGACATCCCCAGCACGTCCAAGGCTCACTCCTCATTCCTAGTCAAAACCAGAGAGATTTGCAGCACATTTACAAAGATAAAGCTGGCACAGACCACCACTGCCCTCTCCTGCAACCCAGCCCCAAGTGTGACATCATCTCCAGGGGATATTATGGAAACCAGTAGTTTCTTAATTAAAACACACACGACCTCCCCTCACCCCCAAATACCTTGTGCCTTTGATAATCCTCCTCCCCAACCCCATCCAACTGTTCCCCTGCAGACCTGGTTTATGGCACAAGGTTTTCCCAACAGCCCTTTGGACCTGCACATCCAAAGTTTCCAGTTTTGAAAACTTTAGCTCTTAATGTGCATTAAAAAACAAAACAAAACATTGCTTAAATCTTGGTTTAAACATCAGTAAACAACCGGATTTACGGTGTATTGGGGGGGGTTTGCTGTGGGTGTTGGGGTTTTCTTTTACATAATCACACACAGACAAAGCAGATGATCAAAAGGCTGCAAAATCCTCATTTTGCAACAACGGCAGGAGCTTAATCCAGAAAAGAAAAAATTGTGGCTGTGTCCACATCAATGTTGCCACATATTTTTTATTTCCCCTTGAGCAATCCACTGCAGAAGTCGGATTTTACCAACAAGTGCATTTGTAACATCCTCCGTGAAAATTTTAAAAATTCCTACCATCTGAACACTTCCAAGTCATACTAAGAGTGGATTTCAACACTTGATTTTTAAACTGGTAATGACTCATTGCCATATCTTTAAAATAATCAGTAACACTTGTAATCTCTAGCAAGTAATGTATTAATTACTGATCTGGAATATTCAGGCAAACCTCCACTATCAGAAATGCAGCTTTACACAATGCCCTGGAGATACAGGTAAATAAATACCCAACACAGCCACAAGAATAATTAAAAACAGGGTTTCTGCAATACAGAAAACTGCTTCAACCAGGGTGCAGGAACAAGACAGGACATGAATTTGATGTAGAATCTGAAACCTTTTGTGCTCGAAACATCATGGAAGCACCAATTCTTGAACATAAAGAAGATACTGAAGTAGGTGCATACATTTTTTCCCCCCTTGTTCATTTTCTATTATTAACAAAAATATTATGATTACTTATAAAATGATTACCTTCTTTTAAAATATTTTTTACTTAATTAAAGTCCTCAACTCTTAATCTTCTGTGTAAACAGCACAGAAGAGTAATTTCAAAATCTGATTTCCCTCCTGTTTGGAAGAACCCCCCCCTCCCCTCAGATTTCCAAATCAAAGCAGAATGCTTAATGCTCAATGTCTCACCAGTGTGGCTCCAGGGCAATTCCCGCATTGGGAAACCTTGGGAGCACCAGCCCTTGGGCAGCCCCAGCTCCAGGGCACCCTGCCCAGTGAGCAGCCAGGAACTGAGGTTTTCCCTGCAACCAGCCAAAATCCAAGTGAGCTTTGGACAGAAAATTGTTTCAGAGTGGGTGGAATGTCACCAAAATCAAGAACAGTGTCTCAGTCATGATTTGTATATCAGAAAACACTAATAAAATCTGATTAGCTATGAAAAAAAATTATACATTTAGATATCAAAAACAACTGACAAACACCAATTAACTTTCCCAGCATCAGGATTGCAGTAGTGATAAAATTAACCCTGCCTGAACATTCCAGAAAGAGAGCATCCATCTCATAAGCACCCACCTTTGAGCAGGGAAAACAGGACCATCCCAAAGTGCCACTGGGCTGAACACTCCCACCTACAGCTGGAGCCCTGGGCAGGAAGCTCCTTCCTGGATGGAATGGTAACAGCATTGCCAGGAGTGATCCACAGGCAGGAAAATCCCGAGCTCTTCACCACCCCAGGAGAGGGAAGATGAGCCAGGGCAAACCAGGAGGGCTTTCAACAGGCCCTGCTGCTCATCCAACACATTTTTGTACCAAAAGTCTTCCATGAAAATGTCAATTGGCTAAAGGAGGGAATAGTTTAGTTGAAGACAAACCACCACATACCTCAGAAACAACTGAGGGGCTTTCAGGAGGATACAGAAGGATTCCATTCCCTCTCCTGGCTGGCCAGGGCTCAGCTCAGTCCCAAGGGACTGCCACATCCCTTGGGATGACTGATCTCCTCTCCCTTCCCCTCTCCCCTCAAAGTTCAGCTCGACCCAGCGCAAAATGGGACATTCTGAAGTTTCAAGAAGTTGTAAAATTGAAAGAAAATAATCTACACTTCAGTTGGGGAAGGCTCCCTACACCTCATGGAAGTGCTACACGGAAATCTTTGGAGTTTCCAAGGGTAGGATTTACACCTGAGGAAAAACAAAACCCACACACACACCTTAAACCAACTTTGTGACTTTTATTGATGGGCGACAACTTTATACTTCTAGATATCACTAAACTGTGTACAATTAGGAACTCAACATTATAGGAGAGCAGACAGCAAAATTAAACAAAGCAGACTTAAAGAAATATCAATCTTAATTATTTTGCCCATTTTCTTAATTTCATGTACACAGAAGCATAAATGCAGTTTGAAATTTCTTAATAGCAATAAAGTTACAATCACCCATCTATATAGACTAACATCTTAACTCCAAATATTTGATCTGCAATGTGTACTTAAGCAGTTTCTCATCGCACAATTATTAAAATGTGTCTTCTTATCAGGAACCAGCAACTCTGCAGTTTGTACATGTTTTGAAGCACAAAGGACCATTTCCATCTCATACACATCGGCTCATATTTTACCACTTATCAAAAAACTATTGGGGAAAGCAGAGAGAGCTTTTTTCTTTTTATAATTTTTTTTTAAATTTTTTTTTTAAATTTTTTTTTTTTTTACTGAAGTAAAGATAAAACATTTTCACAGAAATCTACAAGTTCTGTTGCTGGTGCAGGGTTTTCTTCTACTACGCATTTAGAAAGTGGGAATTAAATGTCAATCCCTTTATTATCTTAGGATTCAGCATGAACTCAGATTAATTTTTGTTTTGTATTTATTTTTTTTGTGTGATTCACGAGACTCGAGTCTTCCAACCAAGCGACTTCATTCTGGCAAAAAAAGTCAACACAAGCTACGTCGCGCACAAACCCGCGGTCGTTTCCTTTATCACTCTTATGGTTGCGAGGCGGGGTGGGGGGTGGGGGAAAAAACCAAGAGGGAAATAAAAAAAAAAAAAAAGGAAAAATTAAAAAAAAAAAAGAAAAGGAAAAGAAAAATAAAAAGGAAAAATAAAAAAAAGGAAAGAAAAAAAAGAAAAGAAAAGGAAAAAAAAAAAAAGGAAAAATAGATTCACTCAGAAGAGCATTTAGAGGAGAGGAAATTAGTGATAGTTGGCGTCCTAGAGAGCAGGGTGCTGCAGGCAGGGTCACAGCAGGTCCACGCGGCGGTAGTACAGGAGGTAGGCTGTGCGTTCCGCAGTCGGCTTCACCACCTGGTACTGATGGATCACCTTCACGGCCTGGTCGTCGATGCGCAACCAGCCGTTGAGCCCGATTTGGAAGACGTCCGTGGTGTAGTGGCCGCCCGTGGCGCTGTTCCCGTGGTGATACACAACTGCAGGGAGACAGGCGTGAGGCACGGAGGCACCACACGTGTGCACACCCAGCCGGGGAAACGGGGGATCAGAGGGACCCACAATGATCACAGTTCAACTCTTAAGTGAAGGATTGAACCCATGACCTTGGCATTATTCCTGGAGTAGGCCCAGAGGAGAGCAACTAGGCTGGTGAAGGGACTGGAGCACAAGTGCTATGAGGAGAGGCTGAGGGAGCTGGGGCTGTTCAGCCTGGAGAAGAGGAGGCTCAGGGGAGACCTCCTCACTCTCTACAGCTCCCTGACAGGAGGCTGTAGCCAGGTGGGGGTTGGTCTCTTTTCCCAGGCAACGATGAGCAAGACAAGAGGGCATGGTCTTAAGCTGTGCCAGGGGAGGTTTACGTTGGATATTAGAAAGAATTTCTTTACAGAGAGGGTTATCAGGCATTGGAATGGGCTGCCCAGGGAAGTGGTGAATTCTCTGTCCCTGGAGGTTTTTAAGACAAGACTGGATGCGGCATCAGTGCCATGGTCTGGTAACAGCAGTGGTGCTGGATCAAGGGTAGGACTTGATGATTTTGGAGGTCCCTTCCAACCCAGCTGATTCTGTGATTCTATGATTATAAGCACCATGTTCTGACCAACGGAGTAAACCCACTGCCCTCATTGTTTTCTCCAGACGGGATGATCTGGCTTAGGCAACAATCTTTAAGTATTTTTTAGTTCTTGCTTACATTTGATTCTGTGTAGAATCACTGCATGGTTTGGGTTGGAAGGGACCTTAAAGCCCATCTCATTCCACCAGACTAGGTTGCTCCAAGCCCTGTCCAACCTGGCCTTGGACACTACATAGAATCATAGATCCCTTGATCCACTACCACCGTGGTTACCAGACCACAGCACTCAGTGCCACATCCAGTCTCATCTTAAAAACCCCCAGGGACAGAAAATCCACCACTTCCCTGGGCAGCCCATTCCAATGCCTGATTACCCTCTCTGTAAAGAATTCCTTTCTAATATCCAACCTAAACCTCCCCTGGCAGAGCTTAAGACCACGCCCATCTGGGGATGGGGCAGCCACAGCTTCTCCAAGAATTCCATCCCAGCCCCTCACCACCCTCACAGGGAAGAATTCCCTCCCAGTATCTAGTCCAACCTTGCCCTCTGTCAGTGTGAAGCCATTCCCCCTTGCCCTGTCACTCCAGCCCCTTGTCAAGAGTAATATTCATCATGCTTCTTCAGCATAGCACATCTCATGATTCTAAACAAAGGGTTAAGTGAATTAAGAATCAAAAGCATCAAATTGCTTTTTGTAACTTCCCAGAGGATTTTCTGGAAAGGATTTGCCTCGCAAAGGCCATTTGCAATGTGTGCAGCACACCCTGCAGAGCCTTCCAACAGGCACTGCCACACTTAGGGGGATAATCTACACATTCACTCTGCTGACCACAACAGTATTCTATTGAAACTGTTTGTAAATAAAAACCTCTCTAATGGCCTATTAAAAAAATCAAGTCAAACTATGGAGTGATCTACTTAAAAAAAATAAAAATCAGGGCACACTTTTCCAACTGGCTCATATTTGTCATCAGTGCAGTTATCCCCCTCCAACCATGGCTTTCATTTTCACTGTAATATTACTCTGAAAAAAAAGTTCTAGGAAAGAACCAATTACGAAAGAACCAATCTAGAAGTTTCATGTTTATTAGTTCTCAGTAACCTCCTTAACAAACCTGTGCACTGAACATCTCTGATTAACTGCTAATTCCAAGAGAGACTCAAATTGCCTTCTTTCCTTAAATGTCTCTTTTCTGCAAAAGGCACAATACTCTCCATGTAGGAGAATTTAGCAAGTAATTCTTTTACATTAGCCTAAACCTGAATTATTTTCTAAACTTTATTGTTTGACAGGTAGGCAAATTCTGGACGATATCTGAAACTTAATTCTTCAAAAGCTTGTTTTGATAATTCAAAATTCATCCAACAAGCTGTTTCTGTGGATGAGAATGCTGGCAGAAGGCTGAAATATTGTATGTTTCCACAGAAAGAGTTAGAAAAAAAATCACAGTGGTAACTCAAGTCACCTTAAATCCGCTGCCTAAACTTGTCCCATGAAAATCACTATGGATAAAAACAACTGCACTGCCAGAAAGAGTCCTGAATTTCCACAAGGGACAGGGATGTCCTTCCCTTCTGTAACTTCAGTGGTCACAGCTCCAAGTCACACAAGGCCACCAGTACTGGCACAGATTTGGTGACACAGAAATTGGAGTTCAAGGGGATGCAAAGCCAGCATTCGAACAGTCTTTTCCAAAGACACTTGAAACATTATTCTGAGAATCTGTGCTGTATTTTAGTTTCAGCTTCTGCTGGTATTTTTCAGGGCGGATCTGCTACAAAACTTTTTGCCAAGTTGGATCAGTGAGATCCATAAATACAGATGTAACAATATACATGTATATATACACATGCAAAAACCCTATTAAATACAAGAATTTGACACCCACAAGCTACTTCAGCATAATTTCAAAGAAAATACTTTCTATAATTCAGGGAACTCCAGTGTTTCTACAATTCCAATATGAAGATTTTGCATTTGCAACACAGGGACCAGAGGCACAGAGATTAAATACCTGCAAAGAGCCGGTAGGTTCTTTGGCCTTTAAAAATTTTACTTTTCACACCAGGAGATAGTAGCTCTGCAGGAGAAAAACAAAAAGGCAACAGTTAGAAAATTTCAAAATTTAATTTCAAGGGGATCAATTACTTCTCAGAGAAACCAACACTATCATAAAGGAGAAAGCTGAATTGAAATTTCTTCTGCAGCCTTTAAAGAATGATCATGGTTCTGATAACTCCTAATCAAGAGACTGAATTTTCAGGTTTGCTGAACACTGCAGTTTATGGAAGGTTTAAAAATACTACCAAAAATGAAGGGGAAAAAAAAAAACCAGAGCAAAAGATCAGACTCTTCATTTTTTCCCTTTCATTCCTGCTGTCAGGCAATGACAAGGCTGCATTTTCTATAAAACATCAGTTTCCTTCCATCAGCCACTAATTATTTAAATAATTTGCCACTTCTCTGAATTAAATCTGATAAAAATATCCAGGATTACTTGGCAACAGCCTTGTAGAGGGACACAGCCCTCATTCACTTCCCATTATTGTCCTCAGCAGTCTACAATTACTCCATATTTACTCCAGCCTATAACCCTATTCCATAAATCCACAGGAAGCTCTCCTTTGGTCAACCCATTGTCTAGGAAGTGCCAAAGGTTTTAAAATCTTTCATCATAATGTTCTTTGCAAAACAGATGCTCAAACTCTTACAGAGGCAATGTCAGGTTCAGGAAGACTGAACTCAGAAACCCAAATATGTTCTTTTTAAGAAGAAAAAAAAAAGGAAAAAACGTACCAAATATTCATTCAAATTACTGAGTTTTCAAACAATGATGAAAATAAAAATCTTGTGCAGAAGAAATAAAATAGAAACACAGATACCCTGAGGAAACACTATATTATTTTTTCTCTAAAGAGGGGGAAATTCTGTTCAAAAATCTTTACCTTTACTAATTTCCAGATCAACAGGATACTCAATATTCTTGATAAGCTTCTGACACCCCCCAGTTTTCTCGTACACGAACCGCTTGAGGTGCAGGACAAGAACAGGGGGCAGCTCTTCCAGTGTGACTCTTCTGCTGATCTCCACCTGACACACACAAAGAACACCTGTAATTTCTTGTTAACTGCTCAAAATCACTCCTTCAAATGAGGAATAAGTGTTTCATTTTAAATACACTCGTAAAAAAAAAAAAAACAAAAACCAACAGATTTGTTATTGTTTCTTAATTAATCTATGATAAAGATTTCAGTTTATGACTTAAAGCCCACTGGATCTTCAACTAAAGTGGTGTCTTAAAGGACAACTTAGTATTTTCAAAGAGAAAAATATGAGTTATGACCACACTTTCCTCTACTAAATAGTGATTTTTGTGTATTGTTTGGTTATAATTATATGAAGTTGCTGTCTGAAAAGCTGAAACTGAGCTCAGAATTGCAGAACAAAAATGTTTTGCCTTCCTAGAAATTAAGACATAAAAACACTTCTCAAAATAACTGCTCAAGGTTTTTTCTCCATTTTTTATTGGGAAAAATCTCCTTATTGGCAGTCACCAGCATGTTATTTTTCAATACAGGGCCTGATTCTGCTAGAACCCACTAAGGGTGGAATAGAAACTCATGGGGAAAAAACTATTGTCTCTTTCCAAGCTTGAAAAGTAAAACTTCTGAGGTTCTCAAGGAGCAGTTTGAGAACCCCAGGGAATGTGAAGACTCCTCCTAAGGAGTATGGGGAAGGGAACCTGGAAAAGTCAATGAGGGAAGGCCAATTTGGTGCTGAAGACACTGAAAACATCTGCAAATAGGAATGAGAATGAAAGGAAAATCACTTCAGTGAGGATAAAAATTAACCTCTTAAAAAACATATTAACTATTGAATATTCAAGATTTAACCAACTGAACTGTAGGACCAAAAGGAACCAAAACATCTTTCTACAAATGCAAGTGAAATTTAAGTCAGAAACAGCAAGAGGATGTCACTCCAGTTTAAACAGCTCACTCCATTTTAAACAGCTGTTTGCATTTAAAATGCCTAATTTAACACTGCATGAAAATCTGACTGATTTTCTGTTTGTATTAATACACACATAAAATTCAAAACCAGCTCAAAGTAATTAAAAAATAAATTTTAAGATAAATCATTCACATATATTTGGAAGATTGCTCTTCTCCTACCTATTCTAAGCCCACAGTTTAATCCAGATTAAAACAATCAGGAGACTGCAATAATTTTTAGTAATATAATAATATTATTTTTAGCTTTATCAGTAATCCTGAGTTTCCCTTCTGTAAAATGGATACTAAATTCTTCTTTGCAACACATTCTGGAAATTACTATCTGCAAACTCCTTTGCTGGTTTTACAGACAATGATTTCAGTGTTTTTACTACAATTTTAGAACAACTTGAATTTCTTTAAAAAAAAAAAAAAAGGTCTAGAAGACACTGTGGATAGTTGTATTTCCATCCAAACTCTGAAATAAGCCAGCCCAAACCTCCAGCACCTAATTTGAACACCCATTTCTTCCAAACCCCCTAATTGAGCACTGGGTTGTCAGTCAAGAAGTTAAAACCATCTGCAGGGAAAACCAAGAAATGAATGACTGGCAAAACAAGATCCATGTGGTAAATCATGATGAGCTTGCATTGTAAATGCTTCTTTCACATGGAAAACAACTGGAGAAAAATAAATGTTCTGAGCATTCAAGGCAAATTTCAGCTATTCAAAGAAAATGATCCATCTTTTCTTTATCTCACCCTATTCTCACTTGGAGTATTTAGAAAACTCACAGACACAGACAAGAATGTCAGAGAGAACACCTACAACTCCACAGTTACTCAAAGTGTACAGGGAATTTCCATCTGAGCAATCCAGGCACACCAAAGGTGATGTTCTTTACTGCTGCCCACCATAAAGAGCAAGGCACTGCCTTAGAGAGGAAAGTTTAATTTATTACCCTCTACCCAAGTTCTCAAACTGCAAAGCCCAAGGCAAGCTTTTCCTCCTTGGAAAGATTTTTCTATTGCAGTTATTGCTATTATGTATTATTTGAAAAAGGAGATAAAAAAATTTTGCAAAGCTGCTTGAGAATGTAAAATAAAATGTCCTGGTACTTAAAGCAACAGAGAATCACAGGGTTTGGAGACCTCCAAGATCTTCCCCTCTGAATCAGGTCAGACCACTTGTGTAAATCCTGAGCTGTGCTTCTCCAACCCTCTCTTACAGCAGCCAGGACGACTCTACAAGCACCACAGGCACACCTAGTCCAGGTCTTAGTCCTAATTTACTGTCCGAGTATCACTGAGAAAAATCAGCCTTCTCTTTTTCAGAGCAGCCTTTAACACACTAATTTTTACATCTGGATCCATCTCTCTACTTCCATGTTTTTATTTCTAGAGGCTGAACAGCTCCTCCCCCTTATTCCTTCCTTTTATACCACAGCTTTTATACCACCATTCATTTTGATTGGTATTTTCCACGTATTTTCCAACTGTGAAGAACATTTCTCAAAGTGTAATTTTTGGGGCTGTCCTGGGCAGGGAGTTGGACTTGGGTGATCCTTGGGGGTCCCTTCCAACTCAGAATATTCTCCAAGTCTGTGAACCAATCACCTAAAACTGAATATAATATTACTGACAAGCTGGTTTTTTTAGGTGTACAGCAAACCAGTCACCTACAGAGTGCCAAGGACACTGAATGGAGGTGTTACTGGCTTTTGAAAGATTTTAGATTATTAATCCAGAGAGGAAGATCATGATCATCAGATATTTTAGAGAGGTTCTACACTGACTTCTACCAGGCCTCCCATCAATGAATATTCCCATTTTTGACCTGTAAGTGAAGTGTGGAAACCAAAACCCCTCAAGGACAGCCACACACACAACCAGGCAAGTGTTCTGCTCCAGGAGTTTTCTTCCTAAAGCAAGAGCCTGCTTTGAAATCATACTTTGAAGAGCTGCTCCTTTACTAACAAAATCTGGCAATTCCCAAGAATCAGTATGTTATGATCAGCTAAACTTAACAACGTGTATTATTACCACAGTTCACTCTGTTAATTTAATATACACTGCAGTAAAATCTCCAATAAATTACTACACCAGCTATTTACAGGCATGCTTTTGGTTAGGAGTCAATTCTTTTCCTCTCAGTAGATGTGCTCACATCTAAGACATTTTACTGCTGCAGGACACTTGGGAAAGCTCCTCCCTCTTTTGTTAACATAAGAGTGTTCAAACAACTATCTGTAAAGCAAAAGTTGTATAAAAACCCTTTTAAAAACTTTAGCAGTTGGCTGTAAAGAAAAGGCTCAGCAGAACACACCTCCTGCTTGGTTTTTGTGGTGTATCCCTGGACAGACTCTCTTGCCACCAAACTTTCCAAGGCATCCTGCACTGTGCGGATCTTGTCTGACTGGATGTCCAGCTGCAGGGTGAAGAAAGGTTGCAGTGTAGCAGACTCCTTGGAACTCTGTTGGTAAACAACAGATCTATGGGGGGGGAAAAAAAAAAAAGTTAAAATGTAATAAAGTGTAATTTTTGACAATAAAGAACCTTCAAGTCAGAATAAAGTAACTCAATTTATATTAAATTCAAAGCGACACACAAATACAAAGCTTTAAGTTGCAACGGGAAACACTCAGTGCCATTTAAAGGGTTTTAACATCCACTAAGGACATACTGAATGGGATATAACTGAATTGTTTTATTTAGGCAAAGATTAAAACAGCTATTGGATAAGCATCAAAAGGTTAAAGAAGAAGCCTGAAATTTTTGATAATGCACTTTAAAAAGAAATTCACCTCCAGGCTCTTTTTGTGTGAGTTTTGAAATTCCATTTCCCAACAGTTCTTCAGAAGTACGAAGTCCTAATGCTTATCTGTGTTCTGCTATAAAAGTTACAACTGATTCCAGATTCTACAATAAAAATATACTAATTTTTTAGTCACTTCTCTAAGACCAATTTCACAGTGATTTTAAATTGTTTGCTTAAATCTTGCCACAGGAAATAGAAACTTTGCTCCATCAAGGACTGGCATTTCCTTTTCCTCCCATCGTTTTCTGTGTCCAGATTTCCTCCATGTACTTACTCCTTTGTACAGAAACTGGAGCCTTTTGGAAAACTAGCAGAGGTAATGACCTGGGGCATGAGAACATGTTTTCTGGGGATTTTGGGGTTTTGTTTTTGTTTGAAGTCTGTTCAGTTGCAGCTTTTAAGTAGCCTGGTTTGGTGAGCACTGTTTTGTGCACTGCACTAAGAGGATCTTCCTGACTTTCATTTGTCTTAAACTTCACTGAAAAAAAAAATGAAGATTTTTTTTTTTTTATTTTATTTTGAAGGCAATATTTGCATGAAAAAGCTCCAGCTTCTACAAAAACGTGGCTTTACACACAGCCAAAGAAATGATTCATTTATTATGGTGGTGTGCATTACAAGGTTTGAAAACACAATTATAATTAACACAGCTCTGATCCATGTGGCCACGCTGGAATGTCTCCAAGTCAGGTAGGAAATGATGCTCAGATTAATGCAGGTTAAAGAAAAGAGCCCCTTTGACTCAGGGAAAGCCCTGAAGCACCAACAGAAACAGCCAATGCAGCTTTATATTGGCAAATATATATCCTTTAGAGGAAAGGGAGGGTATGGAAAACAGCAGCATCTTTATTTCAGTTTAACACTTCCTCCTTGGCTGTGTTAAAGGACAAAACCTTCAGCACATGGCAAGAGCAGTGTTTCAATAAACAAACCTGTCCCTGCTTTTGGATACACTTCCTAATTATTTTTTTTAAGCAAACTGTTATTGAGAGCAATAATCCAGAGAAAAATGTTAACAGCTCCAACTGTGTTCAAGACCAGGTATTAAAATTTAATGAAAAATAGCAATAATATTCTCAAATAAGAACGTTAAGAAAAACTTTTTTTAAAAAAATATTAGAAATTATATTGTAATATTTGTTCAGAACATTGTCTTCACACAGATATGCAGGAATTGATATGATAGCAAAGCCTTTGCTGGATTATGATTTTTCTGTAGCAGCATCACTTATTAGGATAACTACAAATCTCAACTGGACAGGGGAAAATGCATCATTTGCAATGAATAATTAATTGGGCACTGCATAAATTCTACATTAAGAATTTTTCAGGCAAACCTTGTACTTGCACATTTAAGTCTCACATTGCCAAGGAAGACTTTATGGGTTGTTCTGCCTAACAGGTATTTAACAGACTCAGGCCTTGCAAGGTCAGCCCAAAGTTTCCCAAGCCTTAAGCTTCCCAATTCAAAAGGTTCCCAAACCTGAAGATGCCAATTCAAACCATCTTTTCCTGCCTGCTTTTTCCATTCCATTTTTCCAGTTTCTGATGCTTTCATTTAGTGCAATTTTACTGCCATTTCCATATTCAATCCTTCCTATCTCCACCCTCAGCCTCAGAGATGAGGGTTTCCAGCATCCCATGGGATGCTGTTCCTCTGGCAAATTGTGTGGCCTGGTGTGAGGGAGAAGTACAGTGGATGTGGTGACAGCAAACAGCAGATGTTGGATTGGCCCCTTGATGCAAGTTTTGGCCTTTTTTCAGTATCACCTTTGCTTTCCATCATTTTCTGTGGACTTCCACAGAAAACAGCATTCACTCAGTGTTTTAATACAAAAACTAATGGAATCAAGTAGAGATCTGACCAATCCTGACCATGATAAATACATTTAAGGTATTAACAACCCCTTGGGTACGTGAGCCCTCGATGCAGAATTCCATCAATGCCTACAAACATCTGTCTGCCAAATTCTATGGAAAATATAATTTTATTTGCCAGCTGTCTGGCTCAAAACCCAGTAGAATAAATAATTTCAGAGCATTTCACAGGCAGAAGGCACTAGCCCACATTATTCACACTTCTAGACTGAATATCTGGCAACACAGAGAGTCAAACACCAGCAATTAAGTGTCTGTCTCCAATTTAAAAATAATTCTTCAAGTCTAGCAGTTTTGTTTTGAATATGTTTTTAGCAAGTGTTTACTTTGCTTTCATTTTAAATTACACATTTCTCCAAACAAATCATGAGGCTTCCTTTCCAAAAAATATTCTTTCAGGATCTACTTTCTGCCTTCATCTGGTATCAGACCTGAATATAAGTAATGTCCCACATTCTTTTCATTCCAGTAACATCTTGCAGTAATTTATATTTTTCCAGACTCCTTTTGCTTTTAACATTTATTAACTATTACACATAACTTTCTCTGGGAAGCATTAAGTGTCTAAAAGACTAAAAGCCCATAATTTTTTACTTTATTTCACTCACAAGAGTTAACTCTTTGTAAATCTCATTATCTTTCAGTATCCTTATTTACAACACGAGCTAAGAATTCTCAGAGGACACAAAAATTAAGCAGCTGGAATTCTTAAGACATTAATATTCCAAGCAGACGTATTTTCTACGTGCAATGTTTTGCTGCTTAAAAATTTTTAAAGACACTTAAAAGTACTGTACCTTATGTGACCACCAAAGATATCAGTGATTGGAGTCTGCACAAAGTCAGCCTGGCGAGTGACTGAGGATTTGTTGCGAGGTCCCACTTGCTCCCACTCGTCCTCACTGCCTTCCCCTTGCTCCTCCTGCTCCTCTTCCTCAGGAACAGCCTGAGCCTCGGGGCCGTTGGACACCGACAGTTCTTCAAGTGACCAAGAAAAAAAAAACCCCACGTTGAGTTTTTTTTACAAATTAAACACCTAGGTAGGTAATGAATTTAAAAGGCTAATAATATTAATAATAATAATAATCATCTTTTCCAAGGATAAAATGCTTCCACGGATCAATTGATTTGATAAATAAGAAAGAGAATAAGCATTTTCCAGGTTCACTGCTAGCTGGACACATCCTGTGTTAACAGAACCCAGCTCACTGATGACTGTATGTAAATAAATGGAGTTTTCCAGCAAAGTTTGATATATTTATAGCAGTAAATTTATGGGGTAGAAAATTAGAAAGTCAAGTGTTATTCTGGAAACATAATTAAGCTATTATTAAATACAACTCCTTCTGCACAGGTATTTTACAGGGAACCCAAGGCTTAGCAAATATTTTCTCTGCAAGTGCCCAAGTCAGGAGGCTATAAACTGCTCACAGCTACAGAACATGTGGAATGAACATTTCAAATCTTAAAAAATTTACCCAACTAAAGAGAAATCGGATAACTAGGGATCTTAACTCTGTACTTGGCTAAGGCTCACAGTATTTTGTTTCATTTTTAACAGGGAGCTCAACCATAAAGCCACTATAAAATAAAATAGCATTTCACTTTGCATACAATTCTGGTAATTCTTCCAAAGAAAAATTCTTCACCGACTTTGTCAGTAGGAATTTTAAAATAATTTATATGCTGTTTTATACTGGATATAAATTAGCCTTTAGTCTAGAACTTTCCACTTCAAAAAGAAGTGGTTTAAAGATCAGTGTAAAAAGACACTGATCTATTTTGAGCTCCCACTGAGAGAACCAAAACCCCAGAAAACAACTGACACTGCAGGTATTATGAATGACAAACATCCCTGTGCTTCAGACAAGACCAGTCAACTTGAGTTAACCTTAAATAATGTATACATTTGTAATATAGAATTTTATTGGTTAGGAGGACCAGGTATATGACTGATTGTCATTCAGAGCATTTACAGAATGATGGTGCTCTTCTAAATACCCAGTAACTTCAGATCATTTATAAACTACAGAATGGGCTCATTTTATCCAGATTTTAACAAAATATTATTTGTTACTGTCAGAGTCCCCTAAAAAATAGCATTCTACCCATATCTCAACATCTACTCTAAACATTACTCTGTGTTACAGAATTACCACACAAACACAGTATTTGAAATAAATTGTTTTCTACCAAGGGAAAAAATATCCACTAACTTTCATTATGTGGAGAGAGAAGTTTCTTGAGGGTCAGCATTTCTTCATGTAGTCCATTGAGGATAAATCCCAAGTATTCTTCAGCATCCTCTTGCCTGCCCTGAATAAAACATTTTTTGCAATTAATTCTATGACATTTTCATGGTTTCCTTTTAACAGAAGGTTCATGACATGGACCATCCAGCTTTCTCCTATTAATTTAGCTTATCCAGCAACTACTCAGCCTAAGTTATAATGTCAAATAAAGTTTAAATTTTACTAAAGCAGCACCTCATTTTTAACCAGTTCAAACCAAACTGCCCTAAGCAAATACACCCATAAGCTTCACATGGCATTTTTGCATTCTCCTCAATACAAATTCCATTTAACATGTGAGTTGGCTTTTTTTTTCCCCTATTTCTTTTAAAACCACTATTAAGAGTTGCTGTCAAGCCACGGCCAAATCAAAAGATGGTTTCCAACTATTACCTTTTCTTTAAATTGAAACTAAACCTGAAATAGGATTTTGAAGTCTCCGGACCTTTGACCAGTCCAGGCTGCATCTCTCACAAAAATGAACAACTGCTCATTTCTTAAATGTCAATCCATTGGTAACTTCATTATAAAAAGAGGATGTTCCATCCCAACAGTAATTTTTTCATTATTCTGACACATCAAACTGCCAAACCTATAATTAACTCGTTCAAGTCCCAAGACATTATAATATCTTCATTATAACGAGCTATCAATTAGCTGATTTTTGTGGTGTTTGAGCACAGAATCTGATGTGTGGCTTCACACAGTTTCAGTTACAGGAAGTCAAGGATTTTAAGTCCCACCTTTTCTGACAGACTCGACTTTATAACCGTCAAGAGTCTATAAATGTAGGTCGGTTCAAAGGCAGCTCCTGGTCGGATGTCTCTCACTATTTTATCACCCAAAGCTGCAAAGTAAAAGAGAAATAAATATAAGTAGCAATACAGAGAAGTTTTTTCTACATTATACATTAATATTCTCCTCACACATCACTGGATTTTGGAGCTCAGCATTTACTTACTAACAATTTTATTCTAATCTTGGTACTCTTATCTGTAAACATATTTTAAAAAAAACCATCTTACATCACCCTGCATAGACTGACAGATGCTCTAGAAAAGTTAATAAACACTCTGAAGATTAACAAGAATACCCACAGCCATCATAAAAGAACATTCTAGTTCTATTTAAATTTTTGTACTCGAAGAACACTTCTTAAAAGCTTGTGTGTATTTGCAATTCTAACAGATCATTTTCCCTCGCTGGAGAAAAAAAAACAAACCAAGAAACAGTTTGACAGAATGTTCCACCTAATGGCAATACAAGGCCTCGAAACTGTACTTGAAAACTACACAATGAAATGACCTAGAAGTATAATAAGTTGCATAAGCCAGTGAGATTTGTTTTACAGAAAGAAACCACAGAAATGTCTGAACTGTTTGGAAATCACTGGAACAACCAGCTCCTTGCAATATTTTCTTATCACGTTACATAAAAAAGTTTCAGGAATGTGCTTGTTCCTCTAAGTTTGCAATACAACAGACTCGGTTTAAAATTAAGATTAAAAAAACTGAAATCTGCAAGATAATTTATTTGCATCAAAAAAACATTCTATTCCTTGCTACATGATCATCCTTGAGCCTAAATCTGCATTAGCAGGAGCCATACACTTCTAAAGCTTTCACTCTGGAATCAGAAGCCAAGATAATATTCCTGCAGGCAATCTCCAACTGCTCAACAGACCTGTTCTGGCCCCTTTTGTTCCAAATGAATGGGAAAGTTCAGGATTTAAGGAAGGATGATAGAATTGAGCAATGTGATAAACCAAAAAGCTGGAAATAGGTAAGGAAGGAAGTGGAGTAAAATACTGTATTTTTTACATGATTTATTTAAAAAGGGCACGTTGTGAGAAGAAATTTTAAAAATTAAGTGAACCTTCAACAAGAACTATTCTTATTGCACTTGGACATTGGTCCACCACATAGAAGAAAAAATTTAAGGTGTAACATCTCTGACTTCTTGACATGAATCACCAATAAGGAAAAGTGCAACACTGACACAAAAGCAACAGCAAATTTTGTAAGGTATTGAGAAATCCCAAAATCCCAAAGAGCCCTGAAGAGGATCAAGCACCAGTATTTAGAGGTCTCAAGTACATCACCCAATGAGATCCTTACCCCAAAGCCCTCTTACCACCACTTTATGACTTTTCTGCCCCTATTGCCACTCACCTTGCTTTGCTTTAGGAGGTACAGGCATGTTAGTGAACTCATTCATTAAACGAACACTGCAACAGAATGGAAGGAACAACTCCACATGAGCAGCAGGTTAAGACTTAGAAGGACAAATAATACAGTCAGATCATTGCCTTTATGACTGCCAAAAACCAGAATATCATGACAAAGTCTGAGTAAAGACATAAAACCCAACCTGAGCATTGCAATGAAACCCAGGTGTTTGGTTGGTTCATTTTTGCATATTAAACACAATTTACAACTGATAGTCCTGAGGCAAAAGGAAGTATCCTCCTTGACTAGTCAAGCAGTTGTAAAATACCAAGTTCATTATAAAAGACATGGATCACCCAAAAACCACACGAGAGAGACTTCTGGATACAGAGCAAGTTTCAACAACGATCATCTGTTATTTCTGAACGAGCTCACTCAGATCCCAGACTCTTATTCCCTTTTCCCAAGCTACTTACAAACTGTCTAGCATTGGAGTTGAGGTACACGGCCTCTGCGATTTGGAATACATTGGAATGGACTTCATTAAATGATACATTGGAGGGCAAGCAACCAAGGCCTGCAGGGTCTAGGCAGTGGCATTAAGGAAATATGCAGAAAATTCATCTGTATATTAACCAAATATTCAGTTATATTTAAAATGCTATGCAAACTCTATATTTTTATTATGTCGCTCGATCCCATAACACTGGAAAAGAAGAGGAAGTTTTATCACAACATTAACCAATGTGATTTCAGTGACATTTTAATCGTGGCAAAAAGGAAAATGTTTTGTCTCGGAGCAGGAGAGGAAAAGAACTTTCATAGGAAAGGCTTTATAAAATTAACAATTTGAAAATTGGCAAGAGATAACCTGTAACATGTTTTCTGAGAAGAATGGAAGAAGCCGACAGATTTTACGTCAAAGGTGGTGATTCACCCCTGTACCCAAACCAAAAGTAACCCTCTGTGATGGGAGACACTCTGCACTGTCAAGAAGTGGGAGCAACCAGTGAAACTCCAGAGCACAGTGGGAGAATAACAGTTTAAAACCACCTACTTGGTGAGACCAGTGAACACAGGAAATGCATTAAAAGACTGGAGGGAAATGACAATAAAGGCATCAAGCACAACAGTTTCAGAGAGAGATTAATTTGATCCCTACAGTGTGCAAAAACTGAATAATAAATTCCCATGTAACACTTCAAGACTGAAAAAATGGGAGCTAATATGTATATGTAACAGCTGAGTGCACAATTGGTTATATAAGATAAAAGTTGAAGTTTAAAGCACAATTGTTGGTCTGGAAATAGTTTATTAGGTTCTGTCATGATCAGTCTTGAAACTGGTCTTAGCATTTTTCCCTTGCAGTACCAGCACTAGGGGTATCCCAACTGTCACTCACAGTGAGCCTTGCTAACACGTTTAAAAATTATTAATGATTTTTTATTAATATCATAATATAGCACTGGAAGACAATCTCTGTTCCCCGGGGTAAAAGTTATTTTTGCAGGGGAATACAATTCCAATACATTAAGAGCAGGTTCATCCTCCACAATGTAATGTGCAAAAGGAATATTTTAAACAATAACAGTGACAGCCTGCTCAACAAAAACCCAAATGATCCCCTTACCAACCACCAAGACAAAGCCCAAGAGTCAGGACAGTTACTTCAAGTACAGAAGATAAATAACCACCTAAATTGATGCAAAGAGTAAACATAATTAGAAATTAAAAGGTTTTCAATCGGGAGGAAGTTACAGCTCAGCAATATTTTGACACAGGTAGCAACTGCAAACAGGACTGGAGGGGAACTCTGGACATGAGGCTCAAGGATCCCAAATCCCCTTGGATTTCTAGCTGCAACATTTCACATCTTAACCACAGCAGCAGGATCTGGGAAGACAAACACTTTTATAAAACACTTACCAGAGAAATCCAGAAAAACTCTGACAGATACACTACACAAATTTTAACTTAAGAGTATTATTTTTTCCAGGGAAGGATACAGCATTGATGTAGCACCAGTTTCCTTTGTTGATCAGCCCTCGGGGTTGCAAAGACACTGGTTTATGTATTAGCCTTACACTTTCCAGTATTTCTGCAGGATGAGAAACAGTAAATTGAGCATCAACAAAACTCACATGTGGCCATCAAACACGTATCTGTTGCTGCATCACAAAATAATTCAGTTCAATGGACAAGATTCCCAGATACTTCAGCAAATCATTTTCACTCCATTTAAGCACTGCTTGTATTTCAAACCAGACGTGTTTCTTCCACCGGAGACATCCTGGAATTCGGGTCAGGAGGATGCTGGGACAAAAACCAACCACTGGCATTTCAAAACTGACAAGACCTACTTGGTTTTATTTTTGTTTCCCTAAAAGCAGATACTTTTATTTACACAGATACACAGATATAAAATGCCATTAGCTGGCAGCACTTGTCCCCAGTTTTAGGAAGTATTTCCCAAATTCTTCTGCTTTGAAGAGAGATGAAGATGACAGAGCAATCCCAGTTTACAAGTTTCACCATCCACTATCTTACAACAAAACCATCTCAGTGCAAACAGACAGACAGATGTTACTGTGCTCTTCAGAACAGGCTGTTTTATTTACTGGTTTAAGACTTGCAAAATCTACGAGATAACAGCCTTACATAATGTAATTCCAACTGTTTTCCTGCTTCCAAAACCTTCAGCAATGAAGTTTAAAACTTAGAAACCACTGCACATAATTGTGCCTCAGTTATGAAACAAGAGCAGCACAGGGAGTTTTTCCAGGAATCCTGACCTGTTATTTAGGTCCCCAAATAAAAACCATTTAAAGAAAATATTGGAGCTGGTGTATCTTAAATTTGCAAAATCAGGACAAGAGGGATACAAGTCAGAACAAACAGATGTAAATGAACGTGGCAATTGTCTACCAAGGGGGTTATTTATTTTTATAATAGATGTGAGGACCTTTATATGCTACCCTGCATAAACCTAGAGAGTTTGAGCTGTTCTCTAGAAGACAGATAAAATAACATGACACAGGTGGAAAAACAGAGGCACAAAGCCATAACTAAGCAGAGGAGGTGGCAGAACTGCCAACAAAATCCACGTCCTTCTACTTCCAAACTATCTCCTTACCTATAAGATTGTATTTCCTGCAGATACCACCAGTTCTAACCAAATAAAAATGGGACATTTTTAAATCAGTCATCTATTATATAAAGAACCTGGCAGCTGAAAGAGCAGACGAAAAAATAAGATGTAAAATGGAAAATGTAGCAGAGAGGCAGATGAAAACTCCTCTGTGAGTGCTGAAACAGTTATTGAATTACTGCTCAAGTATTTCAGGATGTATTAACAAAGCAGTAACATTTGAACTGTGCTGTGCACACATACAATCTTTCTGTTAATATAACTAAGCACTGCTGGAAATTAGGATAAAAATAGAGGAAAAAATTTATACTTTGAATGTCTATTAGTAACTTTTGACATTAACTCTTCCCTATTTTTGCACCATGCTAAAGAAAGATATTATTAGGACCTTTAGCATCCTCTTGTGGTCATAAAACTGCTTTGTAGCAGTGTCTAGTGCAATTACTGTGAGTTTATTTCTTTTAACAAAGAATTACCTTTGTGTACAGCATTCAATACCACACCTCCATCTAATATTTACAGAGAAACTAAGAGAACTTTTACAAGAGTATCAGAAGAAAAATACACTTAGAACCATGAAAAAAAAGTCTTAAAATTTCAAAACCTGTTAGAAAGCTCAAGTTATTAATAAAAAGAACTCACATTCCCTTTGGAGAATGACTTGTGAAAAGGCCTCAATTTGAAAATGGATCTAGAATAGTATTAACATTTTTGTAGGTAAACAAAACACATTTTGCTAAAGTTTATTCACCAGATACCTGCCAATTTTTTTCTAGAATAGGTTATTTCCTTATCAAAGCAAGTCCAAAGTTTAACAAGACAGGAACCACGTGGGCACAGTCTCCAGGCTAAAGACACTTGTTAAAAGTTAGGAATTTAACACCTTAGATATTCAACACTCAGCCTGAGGCCCCTATTTGGAGAATATTTTGTCTCTCAGATCTTTCTTCAAACTGGACAATGATTAAAAAAAATCCCAGGACAACACTGCTGGATAACCCTACACAAAATCAGCATCTGCAAGAATGCAACAGGCTACATTTATGAAGTCATTTATAACCCTCCCAAACCTTGCATGTCTCCACTCCTTAAGTGCTCCAGCACTTTCCTACCTTTACAATAAGAAAATATTTTCTAATATGTAATATTGAAACGGCTTTCTTACAATTTGAACTAATTCCTTTCTTTTTCTCTAGTCTTGGGAGAACAGTGAATCATCATGTGAATTTACAGCAGTGGTCACTCCAACAATCTCAACTGAGACAAAGTAAATCCAAATTTTCCATGTTTGCCTACATGGTTTTCAAACCTTATTCCTATTTTCACTGCTGCACTGTGGAATCTTCCTTGAGAATTAATGCCCAGAGATTGGCAATTCCATCAAGTCCTCAACAGCAACAACAGAATTAGAGTTATCTTCCCCTTTTCCATGTAAATTGGTATTAACACACAGTGGGAAAAAACTTCTTCTTCAGCTTTACTGAGGACACTCCTCAACTCCCTAAAACTTCCAGATCCTTTTCTCTAATTCTACTGCCAACCATGAGTGTGGGTGTTGAACAAAGCACTGAGGTTCCTGTTTTCCAAACAGGACAGAGAACACCAAAGAATGGAAAATAAAGAAAAACCTCCTTTTTCCACAGAGCAAAGCTCTGATTACATTTACATGACGTTCACATCTTCAAGTAAACATTTTACACCAAATTCAGCAGCATTTCAATTACAGAAATTGCAGCAACATAACTCCTACCTAAAGCAGCTACTATGAGCAGCTGAATTCCTCTTATCTACACTCAGGTTATCCCCCTGCCCAAACAACTAACAGTGAAGGTGCAAAAGAGAACTTGCATAAAAATGACATTGCTATTTTACTACATTTAAGACAAAACAAAAAGCTCTGCTCCCACCTGGTGGCAAAAAATAGTACAGAAACAGTAAAAGTTCAGGAAGTTAACTTAGAGTTGAAGCAACTTGGACAAGATAAAAAACCTTTTTCATTTATGGCAAGCAGTTTTAGCTGTGTGCTTGTCACGAAATAGTTCTAAGTTAAAAGTCATTACTAAAGGATAGCTTGAGATTTTAAGACTACATTGTTCTCCACATATATGGCATCATACAAACTGGAATTTTTAATACAGTCAACTGTGTTTGTAACACCTCAGTGGAAAGTACAAATTATTCTGACAGCTTTTCTCTCAACAGACAGTTCTGAGCAAGGAGGGGAGGAGAGGCAGGATCTACTTCTGGGCATTCTGAATAGTTATCTCCAGGTCAGCTTCTGGCAGAGTAGGAATCTGACTCGAAGCTGCCACACTCAAAACATCACTGCACTTGTAAATCAGTTTGCAGCACAAATGGCAGGATTTTTCACCTGCCTTTTCACGTACTGACTAATTCACAGATTTAAATTAATCACTTTTGTCCCAACATTCATGAATTAATGACACAAAATAGAACCAACTGGGAAAATGTGGTGTTTTCTGACCGAAGTTGCAAAAAGGATCTCCTGCATTTTCTAGTATATCTCATTAGAACCACAAATATGACAGGACCAACAGCCTTTGTATCACTCATTCCCTTTCCTGATGTACCCTCTGGACAGCTCCATATGGTTTTTCTTGAGCAGGCAATAGCTAGCATTGTTTCTGGATAAAATAATGTTGTTTATAATAATTAAGGATAATTCTTCAAAATTGGAAGGATAGACCTCTCAAACAGCACATCAGTAAATATAATATTCCTGAATTAGAATTTCTGAAGAAAGACCTATTTAGATGTTACACTTCAGTTGCTGTTCAGTGTCCAGGAATTTCAGTTACTTTGGTGTAAATACATTAATATTCTTGTTGCGATGGAATGCACCACAAGATAATAAATACTGGATAATGTAACACCATTTCCTATTCTCCTTGTTACAACAGCACAGAGTTGAACACAATCAGCCTATTTAAAATCACAGATCATTTAAACACATTGTTTGACAAGTAGCAACAGCTTTACCGTATCTGGGATAATGACATGGCAATCCCTGGTTGGAATGTTTACTCAGAGGGATACAAAACTAGTTTATTCAAATTACAACCTTCGTGCAGTGTTTGAACAGTTGTCTTATTACCAGGGGAACATCACCAGAGGAATGTTTTCTATGAGTATTGCACACTCCTGTTTACAAGCAGAGCTAATACCCTTCCAGTGTAACATCCACTCGTGTGTATTAACTATACCTGCAATCTTTATGGCTACAGGATCCTCTGAAACTGGAACAGGTCCCTCTTTGACTTCAACCTGTTTTTCAGGGACCAGAGGAGATGTGGCAGGAGGGGTATACTTAGTCTCAACATAGACCACAGATGTGGAAGCAGAGGGCTTGGAACTGTGAAAAAGACTAGCCCACGATTTTGCAGGCTGATTAACGGGGACTGATCCTGCAACCGGGACTGTTGCCTCAGTAGTAGGTGAAGCTTCCTCAGGCTTAGCTTGGTCTGAGTCAGTGCTTTCCACAGTGTGCAATTCTACCCCATTGGCAGCTGTGTCCTCACCAGAGGATTCAAGTGTTTGTCCATTAGTAACGCCAAGACTTTCAGTAGTATCAGTACCAGCATAAGACTGTACACCAGCTGTCCTTAGGGGGCTATCTCTGACGGCCTCTGAGGGGAGGCAAAACTGTTCAGAATTAGGAACTCGGCATACCTCGGGCTGCCCGGCAGTCCTGGCATTGTCCAGAGCGCTGGGAACGGCCCCAGCAGGGACAGCTCCAGGCACGAAGTCCACGGAGTTGTCCGGGCTGTTGCAAGTCCTTGGCGTGGCCAGGGAGGGGATGTCTCCTGCCAGCTCCGTGTCCTCCGTGGGCAGTCCCGAGGAGTTGGCGTGGCCGTTCACCAGCGCCTCCGGGGGGGCCAGGCCATCGCTGACATCTTCCAGGTAACTGTAATAGCCAGGGGGTCTTTTCTTCTTCTTTTTGCGCTCCCTCTGGCCGAGGCCTCCGGACAAGCCGTCGTTTTCCGCGTTGGAGCCGCTGTCCAAAGCCAGGCCGGGATCGCTGAACTGGCAGTCGATGGAGTTGTAGTTGGTTTCACTGAGAGCATCATCAGGGGGTTTCTGAGCAGGTGCACAACTGAGGATGAATTCTGGAGCCTGAGGATTCAGAGTACTTGAAATACTGTAGTCGGTGTTATTTAGGACAGATGATTGCGTCTCAATGACTTCGTTAACACCAAATTCAATTCTCTGATACTCTTCCCCTGGACGAGAGAAGGCAAATCTCAGTTAGAGAATTACAGCAAATCAAGAAGCTACAAAAGCAAGAAAAAAAACCTCCTTATTTTTCTCTAACTCGACTACATTCCCTCAAACAAAAGTAATTCTTAACCTTGATCCTGAAGACCATTTCAAAACATCATTTTCTTAAAGACAGGAGCATGATTCAGGTTTTCTTACACAGAGTATGTAATTTTCCAGATCCCTGCACAGCCCCTGCAAATAACCCCTATAAAATTCACCTCTTAAGAAAAACTATTAAAGCCAGATAACTTCAGGAATAATCTGCATTAAGTTAATTACTGAATAATTGCCTATAAAATAAGGTGCAATATTTAACTCGACATTTCTTCTAAAGCCAGTCTTTCCCACTGACAATTATAAAACCCAAGCCTCACCTCTAACTTTTCCATATATGAAGTTTGGGTTTTGGGGGGCTGGATTTGGTTTTCTTGGTGTGATCTATTATAATGAAAGGTTTAACACAATCCTTAATAACTCAAACATATTTTCATTAATTGCATGGAAACACTGAAATTACACGTTTTGAAACTTTAAGCTCATTGATAATTTATTTCATCAGAATTGAATTTATTACTATGTAAGAATATTAAATATATGACTCCAGGTTTTTCTGACAAGAAATACAACTGATACTCAACACAAGTCAGCATTCAACTTGTACATATGAGCAGTACTGAAAAATTATGAACAGGCTTTTTTGTTTTATTGATTTATTTATTTACCTTGGAACTTCAGAGAAACACTAAGAAATATTCTCATGGAAGGCTGCAGTATCCCAAAATATTGTCAAAGTTGTGGAGTTTCATGGCATTTAATGAGTTATAATGCATGTATGCTAACTAGTAACACTGAATACTTCAGTTACAACTCAGTAACTATAAAAAAAAAAAGAGATAAAAGGAATGCTAAAAGTAAGCTCACATTTTAGCCCTCGAAGTTTTGTAGCTCTTTATGATACTTATGTTACTGTACCAAACATATTAGTTTTAATATTTTGTGTTTCCTCAAAGATGGGGCTAAAACATGCATTTCAAATTTCTAAGACTGTAACTACAGAACCAAACACCACCAGATATTATTTCCAAAGGAACATAAGGGGATACACCACTGAATTCTTAAGATTTTTGTGCAACTTACCATGTCTGACATGCCAACAAATGGGTATTTTTGAGTACATCACAGACTCGATAAAAATGAGGCGAATTTTTTTTTTAAGCACAACAAAAGGCAATAATAGTTCCCAAGGAAAAGACATTATTCACACACCTAAGGAAATAATCCTATGGGAGGACAGAATCTAGTGGGGAATGTTTTGATACGTGACTGTCAACACAACAGCTCTGAAACTCTCCCAATATTTTCTAGAAAAGTCTGCTGACAAACATTTCAGCTTTAAGAAAAATGTGAAACAATCTACAGGGTACTATTTTTCAATATGAAATGAAGCTTAACATTATTGAGCTGTGAATTACACATGCAATACCAACATATCATGAACAAATGATAATAATACTGATGTTAATTGCTTTTCTGCTTTGATCTGGTAAATGAGAAGTAAACACGTCACGTATGGATTTCAATCTTGCTGCCAGTCAGACTAAAGGAGACTTTTTCAAAATAAAAAAGGGCAAAAACTCTCCATACACATCTGGTTTCTCTCAATCATATCAACGAGAGCCTGACTTTCAAACTTCCAATTCTCTTCACCTCTCCCTGTGAGAAAGGCTTTTCTAACACCCTGCCTGTCTGGCTGCCAGTCACCAGCCACTTCTGCAATCGCTGAGGAGCCCTCACCAACCCCAGAGAGGGCTGGAGTTTCTTGGGATAAAAACCAGCAGCCCAGAGACAGGGAGGTGGGAAGCTGCTGCCTGATATCCACTGAAGAGGGAAGGGTTGGGAGATGTCAAGAATCACCTCCTGCTCCAGGGGCTGTCAGTGCTGCACTGCCTGGCCTGTCCCTGCACATACAGCTCCAAACCAGCCACAGCTTCATTTTTGCAAATGCAAAGCTTAAGGGGGGGTTAAGGGATCCAAATGCACAACAAAACTATTCCTCATTAGTTCATCTGCTTGTGGAGCAACTTGTTAAATCAAGCATGAACCAGGAGCTGGTTCTTTAGCCTTTGTTACAACACCATAAAGCACAAGCAACAACTGGTAACACCTAATATTCCTCCAACCTCGATAAGAATCAATTACGGGGCACATTTCAAAACCATATCAGTCCAAATAATCTGTGATTTCATTTCCAAAATCCCAGTTAAAAAAATAATAATGGTTTCAAAACAAAGGATGTGGTTTCCCTTCATGGGAGAGTTCAGTCTGTCACAGCCCGAAGTAAAAGTTGTCACCTCTGCTCCCCTCTCCTGCTGCTCTCTCTCCAGCAAGCTCCCAGCACTTGGTTACCCAAAGCTAATCCAGCAAAATCAATAATCCAAGTGAGCATTTTTTTTTCTAGTTTTGGTGCATTTATCAGTTTATCATACACTGAACAATCACAAGAGCCCTGGGGCAAGTGGGGAGCAGAAACCAAAATACAGCCCTTGGAGTTATGGCACAATGAACAGCGTAGGGTAAAATCCTGCCAAGAGCACCACTGACATTCCAGCATTTAACATACAAATTAGGAAATTACAGCTGAGGGATTAAACTTTACACCTTACAGCAGGATTAGAATAATAAATACCAGTAGTTACTGTATAGTTAGTCTGGGGAAGGATTGGCAGAAGCTCATTCACTGTAAGATTGTGTCGAGTTCATCTGAGAAAAAATGAGAGGCAATTTTTTCTATTTGTTTTGACTTTCCACTTTGCTTCAGGGCATCTTTGTTGCAATGCAGTTCACAGCTCCATTTCTGAATGGACTGAAACAGATCTATCTGTCATGTACAACATGGGATGCATATTGAAACAAGGATCAACAGATGCTCCAAGGACAGTCTGTGTACAACACCAAAATCTGTGAATACGCAGCACTAATTAGTCTGCACAGAATTCTGCATATTAGAGCTTCAGCCATGACTTGAGTACTCCTAGTAAGTATTAACAGATATTCTAATTCCATAATAAAGTTAAATACTCAAGATAAATACATAAAAAACTAGACTATATGACAACATGATGTGTGTCATCTTAAGCAAACATTCCAGTTTAGTTTCCACAGTTTCTTACGCAGCCATCACAGTGATAAGGTGCATGCACAGTACAGTGCAACTTTGTTAAAGACATTTTTCAAGCAAAACCTAATGTGCTGTGTCATTACCTAATCTCAGGGCTGGGAGGGGTTCTCTCAAGGTCTAGGAATGATCTGAAAAACATTTGTACAAACCAACTTTCTGTGTGGCTTGTGAACATTAAAACCCCAGCCTGAAAGAACAAAACTCAAATCCACAGTTAAGACAAAGCAATATATGACTGGACACCCCCGGCACCAACAGACAATTCACACCCTATGGTCTTATTAAAGAACCTTTCTAACTCCTACTTAAAACTACTCAGGATCCTAAAACTGCTCTTGTGCTAAATAAAGCTCCTGAACTGTCAGAAGTGTTGCCTATCTGCTTTCAAATGGGACCTGGGATCCTTCTTTATCACTGGCTATCTTGTTTATCTTTAAATGCAGGGCCAAAAATCTCCAAGCACAATGATCAGGTGTTTTTTAACATTATTAAGTGTATTTTGGTCCTCTTTTGAGTACTTGTGAGAAATGTCCAGTCAAATACTTGCACTATTTTGAAGGAGACCTGATGTCATTCTGGGTAACTCTCAGCTCCCTTCCTCTCCTCTGGTTCAGGGAAAAACCCAAACAGTAATTTACTGTGAAAGTCTGATTTAAACTATATAGTGATGATCACATGGGAACTCCTACCTAACTGCCCATTCCTTGTACCTGTGGAGTAAGGCCAGGCAGGGAGGTGTATGGATTGAGGCAGAGTAGATGTGTGAATGTTGCAGCTTTAAAATGGGAACTCTGTAATGTATTTTTACATCAAGAGTCACACTTTTATCAAAAGAGGAAAAAAAAAAAAAGGGTTTCTCCAGAAAAACAGCTGAGCCAGACAGAAACAAGAGTCAGAGGGAACACAGAACAGAGGAGTCTTCAGGCTGCAACTGCCAGAAATTGCTCTTTGCTGAACACTATGAGTTATTTATTCACCAGCATTCAAGTTTCCCCCCACATTTTCACAGCTACATCCTACAATGTTTCAGCAAGACACCAAGACTGTGTGGCAGCACAATCAAGGAGGAATAAGCACGTCCACTGCAATTAGCTGAAGCTCAATGCAGTATTTTCCAAACCTCTCACAGATGTCATTCAATAAAGTAGTTTAAAAACCAACCTGCCTACTAAATGCATATATACCTGCTAAGCAAGTTTTAATGATTATATTTAAAGGGAGGTTGCAGTAAATCTAAGAAAAGTGTCACAACCTTAAAGTTTGGGAAAAAAAAAAAGATCTTGATTTCTTACCATCATGAAAAACTTACCTGTGGATTTAATACCACATGAAACTGTTTCATTGTATGGGGGGAGCTGTACAAAAAAGAAATGAAACTTATTTAAAGGCAAAGAAAATCCATAAACATTTGATATCAGTCTCATTTGAAATATCCGAATCCTTTCAAAATAACATCATTATTTGATTTTCAGAGAGTATGTCTTGAACTTAGGCTTCTATATTTATCAAATCCCACTCTGCAGCTCCAGGCGTCCTTGCAGATTACCACAATTACTGGAAGATAAAGATTATCTTGGTTACACACCACAGGCTCATCAACCTCTCCAGCAATTCACCTCACAGCATCAGGACCTTTCTTCATCAGCACTAACTCCCCACGATTTTAGGATGAGGAACATACCCTCTGTTTAGACAAAAACTGGAGACCAAATCATCTGTGAAAGGTGAAACACATTTTTGCACAGACAACAATCACACCTAAACCTTTTGACTCTCAGCCTGGTTCAGATGTATTGTGGCTCTTGCAATGTTTCAGCTGAGGTATATTCTTAAACACATTTACCAGCTTAATATAATGTAACCACAGTGCATGGTTTTTATATGGACTGTAAATACAAGTACTATAAAACAGTGGCATCAACACTCAGTGCTTGACAGGACCCTTGCTGTGGTGGGTAATTTCTCATCCCCCCTCACCTGCCCCTAAACTCCCTGAGCAGCTGAGAGCCTTCTCCTGTGCCTGCAGGACCTGGCAGCCACGGCTGCCCTGCATTCCAGTGGCTCCCTGGAGAACAGCGGGGCTGGTTCTGCAGTGGGAGATAAAACATTGAGTGCACAGTGCAGCTTGACAGTGCTATTCTAAATAGTGACTCTAATGGTGCAACAAAGAAAAGAGTTTGCTATTCAAGTTTTCAATTCTCTAAAGCTATAGATACTTACATATTGCTTTCTTAATGCACTGGAGACAGCAGTGCATCACAGGTGGCAAGGAAAATATTCCTAAAATGCCATTATAAAAAGTGCATAAAAAGAACACATGCTGTAAATCCACTTATAAACCACAATATATCTTAATATATCATCTTTTCAGGCCAAAAATGAGAAACAGTGGGTCAGAAAGAGGCTCCAGACTGTTTAGAGCCTACTATCCATATTAATTTTGAACACAGGTTCAATAAGATTTTATAGTTAGAGCTAAAAAAACCTCCTCGAAATGCCTACAGCAAACAGCTTGTGATAAATTTTGTAATTTTTGTTTTTATCCAATTCAAAGATTCAAAAGCCTTCAGAAAATATGAAGCTTTTTAAAAAAAAAAAGAAGTCAGCCTCTTGGTCTGCTACACATCTGATCAATCGACAGCAGCTTTGGAAAGAAGAGATTTCTGAGCTGACTTGTTCCACACAACTGGGCCACCAGAACCATCTCAGTCAACAGGTGCCTGACAGGACATGTATTACAAATGTCACCTGTAAAAGGGACATTCCAGACACCCTTTAGCTTTAATAAATCCCTTGGCTCAGTCCCCCTTCAGTGTGTAGGTGAAGGATCTGCAGCAGGATGTGTGTCAAACACACGGCACCATCGCCAGCTCTGTCCTGTCCTTCTGGAATTGCATCGGCTTTCTCAGACCAATTTTCTCCGAAATATCTGCACAGTGTAAAACTAATAAGCTTTGCTTTTATTTCATCATCCAGATAATTAAAACATTGAACTGAACCAGATCAAGGGCAAAGTTAAGGACCATTTATTTTGACAGCTAACTAGGTACACCTGAGACAGTCAGAAAATGAAGTGAGACTGGTTCTAATGCTGTAGGTTCATTTTTCCTCAACAGACTTTGGGAACAGCTTTACAGAAGTCCAAATATGACATTTTTATCTTTTCCAGTGTCAGAAGAGCTGATGGAGGGCACTTAAGGTGACGCTGCATGGGATGCAAATGTCACTGCTGAGATTGCATTTATGGTGGGGAAACAGCAAATCATCAGAACTACCACGTATGCCCTAAAGATCTTCCTGCACTGCTTCCCACCTACCAGAGAAGGTACAAAGCTCTCCCAAGGAGCAAGTAAAAACTATCTTTTTCTTTCTTAACTTCCCTCACTCCCACCCCACCCCATTCCCCTCATGCCCTTTTATTGTTTAGCAGTGTTATACTAATTATCCTCAGAAAATTAAGCTACAGGAAACTTAAGTCCCATTAACAATGGTCTGTAAACTGTGACAAAAGGATTTCCCCCATCTACAGCTCAAGTGTTCATTTTCTTTATGTTGAGAAGGGAGGATGGAAGCATGACCAAAATGCTGGAATGGAAATGTCTGGAGGAAATACATGGAAACTGAACTAGAGGAAAATCATTTCTTGAGTCTGGAGATTAGGACAAGGGGATAATACTCTTCCCTATGAAGGAAAATGGTTTCATCATTCTCTACCAAGAACTACAGAGAATAAGAGCCTCCAATCAGAGTGTGTAATGAACTCAAACACAAAGACAACTGTTCTACTCTGTGGTTCTCACTGACACCGTAATTAGTTCATTATTGCTGCATTTCTCAGACCTCACACACAGCTTTCCCTTTAAGCACAGCACTGAGGGTCAGCAGTGCTCCACCTGTCCAAAAATACAAAGAATCCCTGTGCTTCAAAAGGCTCACCAGACTGAGAAGCCCAACTTGTTACCAAGAACACTGCTGAGAAGTTTTCTCCATACCCACCCCTTAAAAAAAAAACCCACCAAAGCTGAGGCAACAGGGCTGGAAAACTCCCTGTCATGGTCCTATCACCAGTTCAGATACTCCAGCTCTGAAAGCAGAAGGTGGAATAACTAATTTATCTCTAAAAACTGACTTAACATCCACATACATGGAAAGAAGACAACTGATCAGTACCTCCCCTTTGTAAATTAGCAAGTTAAGGGAATGATAAAAAATTAATTGTATTGTTATATTTCAAATTCACACAAAGAGATGTAGCTTTAAAATGCTATTTCTAAAAGAAGTTTAAAGCAGATCTTACCTCAACAGAGCATCGTGGAGTCACAAAGAACTGATTAAATTCATCAGGGCTGAATTCCCCAAAAATATACTAAAAATAAAAGAGAAGGATCTTTGTTAAGAAGGATTTACATTCAATACAATTAATAAATTCATAATAAAATCTATTAAGATATTACAATTCAAAAAGACCTCTGAGTTGGGAGACAGAAACCCTGTTTACATCCCAACCCTCATCTTAGTTCCTTCCCAAGTCCTTAGCAAAGTACAGCAAGTACAAAACACAGTTTTCTTACACAAAAAGTGATTTATACACATGCACTTTTATGTGTTTGACCGTTTCAGTGTTTTCAAAAAAATATCACTATAATCTGGTTTAGACTGCAAACAATTCCAACAGTCAAAACAACCTGGAACATCTGTGATACAAAGGGTGAAGCACAGTTAAACATTTAATGCTTTAAAAACTTCCCACAGCCAAGTGCCAACCACCAAGTGAGACAGTCCAACACCCAACACATCCCTAAATTGTACCCAAGTGCCTTCACAGTTCTTGGCACAGGATTTAAGCTTGGTTTAACACCCTTAATATAACCAAGTCATTTTTATTCAGTAACATATGAGCTAGAATTTATCCTATTGCAACTACACACCTAAGAAAAACACTTGCTGAATCATCACTGTGTTTCAGGAGGTATTTTTGATGCAGTCATGCAACAGAAGAAAACAATCTCTACTGTAAACTATTAAAAGTTATAGAAATCCAACTCTAATTCCTCCATGTAATAATATAATACCAGGCCTGGTACTTCTTTCTGAGCAGAAGAAAATGCTTCTTTTTTAATTAAGGAACAAGACAAAAATTGAACAAGGTGGTCATTAATGCAACCTTAATGGAACTCCTTTAATGGTGTATTCACATGGAGAATCTTGTGGTTGTTTATGCCAGGACTTTACCAACATCTAACCCAAAAACTAGTCCTAGTCACACTATAGTGCAAAAGACCCATCCCCCTTGGGCCTGAAGAAATTCATAATTTGATCTGATTTATTTAACAATGCTTTAGACAAGCAAACACAAAATAAACCAAGAAGATCTCCATCAAGTAAACTGAGAAAAATCTTATTTCAAAAGAAACTTAAGTCCATAGGACTGATGCCACTAAACCTGCCCAGTTTAACCAATCTCCCTGTCCTCTCCTCATCTCTCAAGAAATTATTTCTGCAAACACAACAGAATTTTCTACCCTTTTTAAGACACACTGCAGTGAAAAAGAACCATGACATCACATCACTTGGCAAGTATAACAATCTCTACCCAATAAAAGGATCCAGAGGGGGAAAAGCCAATGTATTTTAAGCAATTTGAAAGTGTAGCTCCCTGCCTGCTGTCCATCCATCCTTCATCCCAAGGAATCAGTGGGCCTGCTCTCTACAAATCAGCTATGTAAGAAAATACTTGGCTTGGTTCCAAACAGTATCAGAAAGACCTCACTGCAGTACTTGCCCTGCACCATTAATTCAAATTTAAAGGTTTTGCTGCACCTGAAACACCTAAGTAGGAAACAATTTTAACCAAGAGCATTAGAATTTTATAAAAGCAACACACTCTTACAAGACAAACTCATTATCAGCATGAGCTTTTGGGGTCCTACCTTGTACCCCTGAAATCATTCCACCTAACCTCAAAAGCTTTAAAATTAGCTTTACTCCCAAACAAACAAAATTTAACACTTGGAACAATCAAAGATTTAATTAAATTATTTACACAACTTACACAAGCTACTCACCATCAGCATTAACTCACACCCCACTCTACAAATAACAGTTCAACACACAGATACATCAGCACCCATTAAAACTTTGCCAAACCCGTTTCAGATTATTTCAACTGCAATTTTAATATATTTTCAAGTGTGCATTTGCCTAAGAAACAAACACACCCATCAGCACTGCATCAAATTGATGCCTTTAAATGCCCAACTAACCTGCCCTGTGCTGTATCACTCTGTAAACTTGTATGGGATGCTGCTTCGAGGTCCTAATCAGGGTCATAGATGGACTCCACAAGCTCCAAGGAAAAAGTGGGATCAGACACAGGCTGCTCAGGTCAGCCCTGGGGCAGGTGAGAGCTTGTGCTCAGGGATAAGCTGCTTGTCGTGGGCCATCCCTGGAGTGCCAGGGCAGCACCAGCCTTCCCCTCACCCCCAGAGCTGCCCAGGAGCCAAGGACACACAGCACACGTGGGCACAGCTCAGCTGGCCCAGGCAGCAACACCATCAATAATGCAGAAACTGCAGTATATCTGGCAACATACAACCCCAAAATATTAAAAACTATTACCAGTGAAGAGCTGAGGTTTAACTAAGAGCTCTACCCAAATTTGGTTTTGAGATAAAATTAAAAAATCAAGCTTTCTCCAGGCAAAAAAATACTGTTTGGCATTCAATTGCTTATCACAAAGATTGATTTGGATTTATAGCCTCAGACAAAAACACAGCTGCTTGAACAGCATGTTAAACAGTAGTCAATGGTGCCAGTGTTCACTCACACAGGAGAGCAGGAATAAAGCTTAGAGATCCAGTTTCACACCAAGACCAGGTCTGGAAGAGAAAGTCCAAGAGAATATTGGGGGAAAGTTTTGAAAATTCCCAATTGTAACACCTACCCCCAGACTTACTTTTAAAGATATATAATCCCTAAGAGGCTTAGTTCAGTCAAACCTGACCTCCCTCTCCTTCCCAGTCCATCTGCACAACCCATATAAAAGCTTTTCTGTTCTGGCTGCTGGAAGGAATCCTCTCTCTCTTTTTTGGGAGCACCTATTTCACGCTGCATTTCTCCTGTTCCTCCCCAGATTATTTAACTCTGCAGAGCAATCACTGACCTTGCACTGAGTGTGCTCAAGGGTCCCTCCTTAAGATACCTGGTGAGCTCAATTTCTGCCATGGATTAGGAGCAACATCAAAACAGCATCACACAAATCTCAATGATCTTCCACTTGCAGAAAACCAGGTGGAAAATAACTTCCTCTGGGGGGGATGCAGGAGTGTGTGGAAGGAATGAGGCTTTGTGGAATTCCTGGAGCAGGGGATACATGGGACAACAATTCTACCTTTGCTGCCTTTCCACTTTCTGGTCAGTGTTACCAAACTTCTCCTTTGGGGTGGAAAAACAAAAGAGCAAACCCCAAACACACTGATGGATCTGTTGCATTTTGCCATTCCCAGCTGTGACCCAATTTGACCATTTACCAGAGATGGACAATATATTAGTGAACATAATAAAATAACCATGATTTAATCAAGTGAGTGAACACACACCAACATAATCAAATGCTTTGCTTACACTGCACCATCAAAAAATTGTTTTTCCATCTAGGATCTTCCATATTGAGGTTTAACAATCAATCAGTTCAAAAAGACAATTATTCACAAGGGTTGGTTTCTACCTTATTTTTTTGAATGCTGGTTTCCACATACACAAGTTCTGTACTTCTGGAGTTTTCAAATGAGAATGTCTTTTTCCAGATGTCACATCTATGAGACCAAGGATGAAATAAAACTAAACAATGCTTGAATAAACCTTAAGACTGAGATGGTATTAGGTGGGATGGTACATGACATACCCAAATCTCTCCTTTCTGACACTGACACTACAACAGCCAGTACATAAATGAAAAATATGTTTTAAAAATGAACATAAAATTAAGTGTACTTTGTGCCATCCTAAAACAGTATCTCTTCACATGAAGCTGCAGGTGATGTGGGTGCTCCAGTACTTGAGATTTAATTTATTTGCCTTACTTCCACTGATTGAGATTTTGCAATTAAAGTTTGGGCATTGAATTCAAAACATTCTCATACAGCTTTTGGGAGTACAAAGAAGAAAAGTACAACCACATTCCTGAAAATAATTGAAAGAAGCAGACAGAACTGTAGCTCTGCACTGCTTCCTGTGTGACTGGAGAGAGGACACCTAAAAACCTGGATCTTTGCTTTCTTCTTGATGAAGCTAAAATTGTAACACTAGAATATTCTACAAATACTCTACAGATGAATTTTTTTTTTAAGTACAAAACATTTGCAACATATTTTTTCTATAATAAAGGTAAAACCATTCAATGAATGAGACTATTAAAGCTGGTGCAGTGTTTCCAACTGACCACTGAGCTGCTGTCACCAATTTCCACGTTCAGCCTGACATGCTGCAAGGAATCAAGTTTCCCTGTATCCAGTACCTGCCTCCCAACATCAGTTCTCTTTAAAAAGCCACTCACGTTAGAGCAACATCCCAAATCCTATTGATTGTCAGTCACTGGTGTTTCCAGTCACAACAGAACTGGAATCAGTTTCTAACTTAATCTCTATAATACGATTACAAGTGTAACATCCAGCTGCACTCCAGCAGAGTCTACACCACTTGGAACAAATCATTTCATCAATGCCATCACCTTTACATCTTCAAGATATTAACTGCAGATAGATTATAATATAAATTGCACAAAACAAATTAACCAAACAAATCCACACAATAGATTCTGTTTTCCAGCACACAGGAAGGAAAGTAAAAGCACTTCTATATTTGTGCAGTAACTCTGATCACCATAACTGACCAAGCAGCATCTTAACCACGCAGACAAAAGCTGCAACAGCACAAGTAATTCCAAGGAGGGGCAGGAAAAGACCCCAAAGGATTAAAATGCCCGACCTGCAAGCTCTCCCCATATTGACTGGGTTTTGCTGTGGTCTCCTCAGCCACTTGAAAAAACGAGTGCTAATGTTACCCTACTGCCTGCAATGAAATCTCCACTGCTGTTCCAGTCCAGCAATAGGAACGCTGTCCTGGAGGAATAAAAGGAGGGTGAGTACGTGTTCCACAGCTGCTTGTCCTAGAAAAATGGGCAGAAATAGCACTGCTGATGCATCACCCTCCTGGCATCACCTGTGCTGCAGCAAGGATAGGAAAATGAAGTGTCAACTCGTGCTTTCAAGAAGCATTAACGCAGCTTTCATCTGCTCCCCAACAGCTTCAGATCTTCCAGGCAAATTAGTTTAAGCTGCAAATACTCCCACTTCAACTGCTTTTCCA